AGTCCTTACCTCCCTCCTCCCAGCCCCATGATCCGTTGCCCAATGGGCTGAATTTCAGGGCTTTTGCATGTAAAGGGCAAGCTTGTTCTTTACTTGTTTAGATCTTTAAACTTGGGAACAGATATTTGGCTCCATGACCAAAATGGTCAGCTTCTAGAGGACTGGAAAGATCATGATTGTACTTCCCCTACCCTCAGCCCTAACCCCGTTAAGTATTTTTTGTTATGAGACTGAGTGTTTGGGGCTGATGCCGTAGCATTCTTGTCTGGGGGCTTGATGGAAAAACAGAAAAGTGACCCTCTCCTAACTCTCCAATGCCCTTCAACAAGAATGCTGTAGGAAATATTGCTAAGCCCAAAGGGAGGCAAGAATTTGCTTCAGCTCACCTTCTTAATGGCAGAGCAAAAGCTATGTGTGTGTCATTCTCAATCAGTCTACTGCTTTCAGGACTGATTTTAGAACCCTCTTACATCAGGCCCCATGGTCACTGGAGGTGGCCCCATCATGCAAACATGACTATCCACACAGGGACCATCTATTTTTATTTTTTCCTGATACTGGATTTTAAGTTACAGTTACATCTTTTAAAACAGCTGTCAGTATATCACACTGTATTCCACTTGCCTTCCAAAGGAACACGTGGCTCTCCCCATATAGCGGGTTAGGTTGAGACTGCTGATCCAAAGTGATCAGTAATTTTTACGGTAATTACAATCCTGCTTTCCCTTGTACCAGCTTACCTTGACTTCAGTAAGGCCTTTGAAAAGGTCCCCCATGATATTATTGCAAAAAAACTTGTAAAATGTGGGCTAGACAAAGCTACTGTTAGGTGGATTTGTAATTGGTTGACGGGCTAAACCCAAACAGTGCTCAGGGACGCGGACTTATAAAAAATATTGGGGGGGCCCGGGAAAGCTCATGAATAATAAATAAGCTCATGAATATGCAAATAAAGTGGCTCCGGCCCTAAATAGGGCAAGCCACGCCCCCCCAGCCAGCCGATTGGCTGGCTGGGAGGTGTGGCCAGTCGGGATTCCCCTGTTCTCGCGGGGGCTGAAACCGCCAGGAGGAAGGAAATTCCCCCCGGCAGTGCCTTGGCAGTGGCGGTGGTGCTGCGAAGCAGCGAGGCAGGAGCCCCCGCCCCCGGCGCCCGAGATTATTGGGGGGGCTGAGCCCCCCAAAATTTTTTTTTGAGGGGGCTCGAGCCCCAAGCCCCATGGAGTCGGCGCCTATACAGTGCTCATCAGTTGCTCACCTTCATCCTGGAAAAAAATGACTATTGGGGTTCCACAAGGTTCTGTCCTGGGCCTGGTGCTATTCAATATTTTTATAAATGATTTGGATGATGGAATAGAGGGCGTGCTAATCAAATTTGCAAATGACTGCAAACTGGGAGGGGTTGCTAATACACCAGAGGACAGGGTCAGAATTCAACATGACCTGAATAGCCTAGAGAGCTGGACCAAAACCAACAATATGGAGTTCAATAGGGAGAAATGTAAGGTACTACACCTGGATAGAAAAAATGAAATGCACAGGTGGGGGACACTTGGCTTGACAAAAGTACCTGTGAAAGGGACCTGGGAGTCTTAGTCGACCACAAGCTGAATATGAGTCAACAGTGTGATGTGGCAGCTAAGAACGCCAATGCAATTCTGGGCTGCATCAATAGGAGTATAGTGTCTAGATCAAGTGGAGGAATGCTACCACACTATTCTGGTTGGTCAGACCACACCTGAAATACTGTGTCCAGTTCTGGGCACCACAGTTGAAGAAGGATATTGTCAAGCTGGAGCATGTCCAGAGGAGGGTGACCAAAATGTAAAAGGTCTGGAATCCAAGCCCTATGAGGAGAGACTTAGGGAGCTGGATTTGTTTAATCTAGAGAAGAGAAGATTAAGGAGTGACATGATAGCCATGTTTAAATATTTGAAGGGATGTCATGTTGAAGAGGGAGAAGCTTGTTTTCTGCTGTTCTAGAGACTAGGATGCAGAATAATTGATTTAAACTATGGGAAAAGAGATTCCACCTGGGCGCGGTAATCCAGTCAGGGAAAAAGGGAGGCATACTATGCTTAGGGCACCGTTTCCAGCCCCTTCCCCTTTTCAGGGTGAGCATAGTGGATCCTAAAAAGGGCTGCTCAGTCATGGATACAGCTGCTGAGCTGCTCAACTGCCTCATTCTTTGAGTCAGAACGACTGAATCTGTATCCACCGCCCATGTGTCGGTTCATGACTAGGAGCTTCACATTCCTGCCCCCGTAGCCATTTAGTGATCGCCATGGGGGGAGGGTTTGGGGGGGTTGGGTTTTTGGAAGATGCCTGTGCGTGAATTTGTTTTATGTGTGTAGATCAGTGCACGCTGACCAACGCACAGCCTTCGCAGTAGGGCTCTGTTCTGATGGCATGAGTAATCACGACGAACTGGTGGATCCTATCTGCTGCAGCCTTCATCCGCCTTCAGAGCCGTTGTAACACACTGCTTGTTATCACCCACCTGTTCTGCCGTTGAGGACTTCTTGGATCATTCTTTGTCTAGCTCCTTCCCTGTTATGTACTAAGCTTGGATCCTAGAACAATAGGCAAGTAGGATCCTAGAATGCAAGAACTGATTGGCTTGCAGGAAAAGACCAATCAGGCTCCAAGAGGGAAGCAGAATCAGCCAGTCAGACGGGATTCATTGTGTAAATAATGTATATAAAAGCCTGAGGTTTGAGGGGAAATTCAGTCACTGTTTTACAAGCTGCAATAAAGAGCATGAAATCACTACAAGACTCTGAGCATATTTAATTTTCTTTGACCTTACCGCCTTGGGTGACCTTGCTGGGAGTACGAGATTCCCAACGGCTTCGCTCACAAGGGTCATAGGAATGTGCAAGCCCACTCACCATGACAAGTGAGAGAACTGAGATAGATTGCACTGAGCCCTGGTCTCATTAGACAAAGTGTTCCACCAAAAAGGCTCTGGCTCTGGTTGAGGACAGCTGGATATGTTTTGGGCCAGGGACCACCAGTAGGTTGCTGTTAGATGAGCGTCACACTCATGGGGGGTGTATTGGAAGATAATTCCCACAGATAAGAAAGGTCACAGACTGTTTAGGGCTTTAAAGATTAGCACCAAAACATTGAACCAGATTCGATACTCCACCTGGAGCCAATCCAGCTGATGAATAACCAACTGAATGTGGGCTCTCCACAAAGTCCAAGTAAGAACTCATGCATCTGCATTTTAGACCATTTGGAGTTTCTGGAGCAGTCTCAAGGGTAGCCCTGCATCTCTCTCTCTCTTTCTCACTCTCTCTCTCTCTCTATCACATTTATACCCTGCACTCCCCAGCTCAGGTGTACAGCAAGTTAAAGTAGTCTAGTCTGCAGGTGACTACTGCATGGATCACCATGGCTAGGTTGGAAAGGGACAGGTACGGTACCGATTGCCTAACCTGACATAGATTCAAAAATTCCAGTTTGGCTACATTTGTGACCAATGCCTCCATAGAGACAGAAGCATCCAGGATCACACTGGGACTCCTGATGGCAGCTAAAGGTGACTATTGTGCCCCATGAAGAGCTGGGAGCTGTGCAAAAATCATGAGGATCCATGAGGATGCATGCTTCGGAACCACGTTTTTGGGCCACGGTATGGCCAGGCAGGATTGGATCTGAGTTTTTTGTGGTGCAGGCTGTGCCCCTAGACATGATGTGTGATTTGATGGTGAGTTTGGGTTGGCCCAATGCAAAAAGTGTGAGGATCCATGAAGATCCGTGCTTCAAAACCACGTTTTGGGGCCACGGTATCGTCAGGAAGCCGTGGATCCGTGATTTTTGTGGTGCAGGCTGTGCCCCTCGACATGATGTGTAATTTGACAGTGAGTGTGGGCTGATCTAGTGCAAAAATCATGAGGATCCATGTTTTTTAACCATGTTTTTGCGCCATTGCGGCACCACGAAACCGTGGATGCGAGATTATTTTGGTTCTGCCTACAGACTAAGATGTGGTCTACAGTATCATGGTGTTTTTATTTTGTTTCAATATAAAAATCCTATGAATTCATGAGGATCCGTGCCTCAGATCCATGTTTTTGTGGTGCTGCGGCGCGGCAAAGTGTCGGATCCACGTTTTTTATAGTCCAGTTTGTAGGCGTGCCTTCTAGGTGTGATTTGACACTGCATTTGTTGGAGTTATTTTTTTAAAAAGTGGAGGATCCATGAGGATCCGTGTAGATCCACCTTTTACCCAGACCAGGGGTCTGCAACCCGCGGATCCGGAGCCGCATGTGGCTCTTTTACACCTTTGCCGCGGCTCCGGGGCGGATACTAGCGAGGGGAGGAGCTGCATTGTGCGCCCCGAAACTCCCCACTGTGGCGGGCGCTGTACCGGCTGTGACGTCACGCACTGTCCCGACGTCACCTTCCCGGTTTTGCGGCTCCCCGTTTTTTTTCTTTGGAAAAAGGGTCCAAGTGGCTCTTTTTGTCTTAAAGGTTGCAGACCCCTGACCCAGACCCATGGCTTTAGATACCTATTAGGTCCATAAATTACCATATAGCATATATTCAACACCCAGAAATAAAAACAGCGACAATTTGTTGTTGACAAAGGACAGCTGGACATATGGAGGGCCCCATCACCTCGAGTAGCTTAGGGCCTCATCAAACCTAAATCCGGCCCTGCCTACCTCGCCCGGCTGCTTGTGAGGCGCCAGGAAGACACCCTCCCCCTCAATACAGCCCACCTCACAGGGTCGTTGTGAGGAGAGTTGCCCCTAAACGAGGCCCTTCAGGCAAGCACGATGCCAATGACGCGGCTCGCTGAGGGGAGCTCGCTTACCCGCCTCACGGGCTGAGGCGGCGGCGGCGGCGGCAGCGCCTCAAGGCCCACGAGGGAGGCCGGCGGGGGAGCGAGGACGCCCGCTAAGCGCCGCCTCCTCCACCTCCTCCTCGCCGGTCTTGGCCCCCTCGGAGAGCCACGCCTCAGCCTCAGCCCGGCCCCTTTCCCCCACACGGGCCCGCCCAGGCCGGGCCGGCTGGCTGGCTGTGGCGGCGGCGGCGGCTGCGCGCTGCGGTTCTGCGCTCTCATCATGGCGGCGGCGCGGGGCCATGTGCAGGACCCCAACGACCGGCGCCTCCGGCCCATTTACGGTACCGACGCCGCGGGCGTGGGGGGGGGTTCCCCTCCCCCCCTCTTCTCCCTCCCTCCCCTTTCCCTAGCGCGCGCGCGCGGCCCCGTCCTAAGCGCGGGGCCGCGCGTGCCCTTTCTCCCTCAGCCGAGGCGGGCCCCCCCCCGCCAAAAAAACGTTCCTACCCTTCGCCGCCCCCTCATCTCCCATCCCCAACCAGCGTCCCCCCCATACTTGACCCTTCCCGCCTTTTTCACCTGCTCCCCTCAGAGACCCTAGTTTGAGGTGGGGGGCCGGGAGGAAAAGAGCCTAAACAGGCGGGTGCCTCCCCCCCCAAAATGGTTCTTATTGGGGTACGGGGCGGGGGGGGGAGGTTAAGCAGGGTCCCCCCCCCAATGTCCATCGTTGTTGTGGTATTGGGGGGGGTGGGAAGGAATGCCGTCCCCTCGTGTTCTCCTCTATTGTGGCATTTCGGGGGCGCGTTCATCAGGCACCTCCATGTTTTGTCTGTGGTGGGATTTGGCGGGTGGGTGCCTCGTGTTCATTTTTAGTGTGGCATTTGCAGAGGGGGGGGGAGAGGCTGAGCAGAACCCCCCTCCCCATATTTGCCCTGGCCTTCGTGTGGATTGTAGCGGAAGGAGCTGCCAAGCTCATTACAAACCCTGTGAGAGGAAGAAAGGGGAGATTTTGGGGTCTTACCCACGTGGTCAGAAGTTCATCATATCCTGACCATTCCCTTCTCCAGGAGGAGATGGTGGGGTTGGGACCCTTTTCCCCCCTACTCCCTATTCTGGACTCAGCAGGGTCACAGGCCATGGTCTAAAAGCATTTCTTAATACAGTATATATCATTAGCAGATAGTCTGGGGCTTCATACATTTATGCTTTTAAAAAGGCAGGTGGTGCTGTGGGTGAACAAGGGGGTTTCAGCACTGCACGAATCCTTATTATAGAATTCATGGAGCCAAGATGGAGAAGCTTACGGACCTGTTTTCCCCTAACAGTAGATTTGCTAGGCTGGACTGAGCAGGGGGCGAGGATTGCATGACATTCATGCGACCAGTTGCCACAAACTTCATATCCTCGTTAAACCAGAGGAGGGAGATATGAATTGTAAAGTCTTGCCTGCTTGTGTGGCTTACTTAATGTGGTTTGGTGGTGGTGGTAGCAATGGCTTTGTTGTTGCTGTTAATTTAGAGGGGCGTGTGATGCTGGCCTCTTTAATTCATTGAGTAGTACTGTATGGGTGTAGCAGCTCTCTCCTTTGCAAAACTTTAGAGCAGGGGTGGCCAACTCCCAGGAGACAGCGATTCACCCCCTTTTTTGGGGTTCAGGTCAAAGTTGTTGAGCTTTTTTTACGCCAGCCTCTTTTAGAGTATAGTGGTACCTCGGGTTAAGTACTTAATTCGTTCCGGAGGTCCGTACTTAACCTGAAACTGTCCTTAACCTGAAGCACCACTTTAGCTGATGGGGCCTCCTGCTGCTGCTGCGCCGCCGGAGCACGATTTCTGTTCTCATCCTGAAGCAAAGTTCTTAACCAACCCGAGGTAATATTTCTGGGTTAGAGGAGTCTGTAACCTGAAGCGTATGTAACCCGAGGTACCACTGTATTGGACCAGATGAGACTTCCAAGCCTCCTCTGTATAGCCTTTGATGTACAGTGGTGCCCCGCAAGACGAATGCCTCGCAAGACAAAAAACCCGCTAGACGAAAGGGTTTTCCGTTTTTCGATGCGCTTCGCAAGACGATTTTCCCTGTCGGCTTGCTTCGCAAGACGGAAACGTCTTGCGAGTCTTGCAATTTTTTTCGCTCCCCCCCCTTTTCTAAGCCGCTAATAGCCTTTTAGCCGCTAAGCCTTTAATAGCCGCTAAACCGCTAATAGCGCTAAGCCACTAATAGGGTTGCTTCGCAAGACGAAAAAACCGCTAGACGAAGAGACTCGCGGAACGGATTATTTTCGTCTTGCGAGGCACCACTGTAGTAGTGAGAAACAATCTGAAAAAGGGCATCACTGTCCAGCCCTCACCAGTGCCCTGCTACAGTCCATTAAAGGTTTGATATGTCTGGATTACAAGTCCGCAAGAATAATTTCTTGATCAGGATAACTCCACGTCATATTTAAGCAGCACTTCAAATGCAAGCCTCTCTTTTGCTGTGTCTAAAACTTGATCCAACTTTTACAGGCAGTGACCTTTTTAGGTGCTTCTGAGATGTGCATGACCACGCTTATCGCGCCAAACCCAGACGTGACCTGAAAACGTCACAGAAGGGGGCAGAGCGGGATGTTTGTAGGCTTTTCCCAATGGTGTTTCAAATATACACAATTTAACTTAAACGTGCCTTGGAACGTAACCCCTGCGTAAATTGGGAGTCTCCTGCAATTACTTCCTTGCTGCAGGATTTACATATGTTATATTCCTTATGAAAGCTATTGCTACTTTTTACATATTTTCACTTATGCTCAATGAAACTTTTACATTATCTGCATCTCTCAGTAAGGCAGGTGAAAACACTTGGAGAACAGTTGGAAATTAGTCAGGCACCAGAAATCTCCACATTCTTAGTCCATTGTTAATACCATTTCCATTTCCAGTGTGTGTTTCTCCTTCTTGCACTGAGACAAATGAATAGTTGTAAGAGCAAGATACAGTCAAGCAGTGCAGTTCATATCGTAGAATTGTAGTGTTGGAAGGGATTCCAAGGGTCATTTAGTCCAACTCCCTGGTCAATAGGCATTCCGTTGCGGCAACTGCAACCTAGATTCACAGTGCCATTTGGCGCCTAGTTTATATACCCAAGTTTCTAACAGTGTATGGAGAACCTTCACTTTCGTTAGGCAGTGAGCACATTAATTTGTTCGCCCCCTACTCCCCCATTGTAAACTTAAAAAGTTGGTTGTCTGGGTAGGATCCTACTGCTTAAGGAAGCTACTTTGTAATACTGTATTCCATTTTTTTTTGCTAACTCTGCTGAATTAAATATGCATTCTGCTTGTCAAAAGCTGACCTCCTTTGTAATGCTTCAGGATAATATTTTAGTTTCCTGTTAATTATGTTGCTTTGAATGTATACTTTATATTTGACTTCCTTCAGTAATGTTTTATTCTGGATTGTTTTATTTGGTGTTTTAATGTAGGTTGTAAACTGCTTTGAGATAGTTTTCTTAATATACAACAGTATAAAAATGAAATGAATAATAATTTTAAAACATGTGTTGGTTGCTGTTCCTTTTCAACCTGTCTTAAGAATATTGGCTAGGAGCTCAGGTTGTTTTGTTGTACATGGTACTTGGCAAATGCTGGAAAAGGAAGATAAAATGCTGTACTTGGTTTGAGAGTTTTTTTAATGTTTAGCACTGAAAAAAGTTAAGGCAAAGAAGAAGCAGTTCTTAACTTGCCAATATGAAATGCTAGTCAAGAGTCTTTAGAAGAACTGCTTTGAGGCAGAACCGGTGCAAACTTCATGGTTTAAGATGTGACTATAGAGACACAAATGTCCATGACATTTCTGCACTTTGAATGAATTCCAATGGAATGGTGTGTAGCCAAAAGGTTCTATTAGTACCAGGTCTGAACCTAATTCTGCTTGGTTTTAAAACCGAAGAACTGCCTCTGCCTTTCAAAAGAGAAATTCCTTCCACTTCAGCTTGTGCAAATCTGTTTCAAAGATATGGACTGAAGTTCTGCGTGTTCAGTTCTTTTGAGTGTGTGCATATGCATGAAATTGTGCCTCAGTATAGTATGTGTTTTTGTGTTGGAGCCTTGATCAGTTATGATGGGAAATTAAGTTTGAAAACTAGGTTTGAAAACTAAGAAGGAGAGGTAGGTTTTTTATTTCTTAAATGACATATTTTTAATGTCTTGATTTTCCATAAGTAGTTTCTGGTAATACTCCTTAAAACAAACAAGTCACGTACAATATATATATATTTTGACAAGCAACAATCTGCATTGTATTTAGACCTTATAAAGACCTACTGGGCTTATTAGAAGCACTGCTAAGTATTTAATTTATTTGTTATTACATTTAAATCCCACCTTTCCTCCAAGGAGCTCAAGACAATATACATGGTTCTTCTCCCCATTATACCCTCACAGCAACCCTGTGAGCAGTATTCAAAATTTGCCAGGTGCTAGGTGCATTTTGTTACTGGTGCTGGTCTGATTGCGACTGCGTGGAGGTTTCTGAGCACCAGGTTGGCGACTGACATCTGCATTGAGACAGGTGACTTATGTGCCAGCAAAAGACATGTGTCTTGATCTTCTACACTGCCGCACAAATCATTCTTGCTGGGAATTGTTGTAAGAGCAAGCTACAGTCAAACAATGTAGTTGAGATCATAGAATTGTAGTGTTGGAAGGGACCCTGGCTGTCATCTAGTCCAACCCCCTGGCAAATATACATTCCAGTTGTGGTGACAGCTGTGCCATTTGGAGCCTAGCTTATATATCTGAGTTTCTTATGCTGCTTGTTAGGTAGGCTAGGCTAAGAGGCAACGAATGGGCCAAGTAAGCTTAATGTCTGAGTGGGAATTTGAATGCTGGTCCCCTACTTCTTGATCGAACACCCTAACCACTACTCCATACTTGCTCTGTAATACAGTGGTACCTCGAGTTACAGACACTTCAGGTTACAGACGCTTCAGGTTATAGACTCCGCTAACCCAGAAATAGTACCTTGGCTTAAGAACTTTGCTTCAGGATGAGAACAGAAATCGTGCTACAACAGCAGCAGGGGGCCCCATTAGCTAAAGTGGTGCTTCAGGTTAAGAAGAGTTTCAGGTTAAGAACGCACCTCCGGAACGAATTAAGTACTTAACTAGAGGTACCACTGTAATACAGTGGTACCCCGCAAGACGAACGCCTCGGAAGACGAAAAACTTGCTAGACGAAGGAGTTTTTCGTTTTCTTAGCCGCTTCGCAAGACGCATTTCCCTATGGGCTTGCTTCGCAAAACGAAGCTTGCCCTGCAAGCTCCAGGGATAACGGGGAAGCGCAGCGCGTCTTCCCCGCTGTCCCCGGACCTCTTTTGAAGCAAGGGGCGGCGGGGAGAAGATCGCTTCTCCCCGTTGCCAACCCCGCAAGCTCCGGGGATAGCGGGGAAGCGCAGCGCGCCTTCCCCTCTCTCCCCGGACCCCTTTTGAACCAAGGGGTGGCAACGGGGAGAAGCGATTCTCCCCGCTGCCCCTTCCCTTGCTTTAAAACAGGTCTGGGGACAGAGGGGAAGGCGCGCGCGCCTTCCCCTCTGTCCCCGGAGATTGCGGGGCAGGCAACGGGGAGAAGCAATCTTCTCCCCACTGCCCCTTGCTTTAAACGGGTCCGGGGACAGAGGGGAAGGCCCGCGGCGCTTCCCCTCTGTCCCTGGACGGTCTCCATAGGAACGCATTGATTGATTTTCAATGCATTCCTATGGGAAACCGTGCTTCGCAAGACGAAAAACTCGCAAGAAGAAAAAACTTGCGGAACGAATTAATTTCGTCTTGCGAGGCACCACTGTAGAACTTGTGTCTCTTATCTGAGTTCCTTAAGGCAGCTTAGAGATAAACAAAACATACAATATCACAATACAGGGTTTTTTTATTGCATAAATTAAATCTCACAGACACCCACCAAGAAAACCCCTTTGAACACAAGTCTGGGCAGAACACAGAACAGTCCCATTCAAAGATGTGGCAGCTGCAGTAAAAATGTTACCTAGCTACTGGCTGAGGAAAAACACGTTAACTATAAAATACTAAAAACCCACCTGTTTAAAAAAAAAACAGGAAGAAAAGTTTTTATCTTGTGCAGAAGAAATGAGTAGCAAGCTCTTTGGAGAGAGCATTCCACAGGTGGGATGGAAGGCACCATCTATAAGGATCCATCTCTTGCTGCCACCCTCAAAATTTTAACAAGAGGAAGCACTTTCAGAATGTCTCTTTGTAGATGACTTCAAGCCCCATGTAAGCTTTCTTCAAGTCCTAGGGTCTCAAGGTGTGCAAGGCTTTGTAGGTTAGAACCAGCATCCTGAATTGAGCCCAGGAGCACAGTGACAACCTGTGTAATATCCTGATGACACTAGGGTTACTGTGGACTGGGTAGCCTGGATAGACTGTATATTTTAAGTCACAAGTACAGTAAGTCCCATTAATTTCAACTGGACGAGCTCAAGTTTGTTTACAGTTTTTCTTTATAGATCTTTGAAAGTTGGACCATAGTTTTTAGTTATGTACAATAAGGAGTACCTTGAATCAAATTCTGCTTCCATTGTGTAAAGATTTTCATGTCTTATCTACATGAAATAGCCAGTTTGTAATCAAACATGTATGTAAATGCTGTTGGTTAGAATAAGATGTTGCCCTCCGACTATGAATTGGACATGTGAACATAGTTGCAAAGATTGCAAAGGCAATTGTCTCTGGGGAAAACTAATGTAAATGTTTGGACATGTTCTTACTTTCTTCACTTTTCAGCAACAGTCAGCTTATTTGATGACAGTTAAGCATCTTTTACATTTGCTGTTTGCCTTTTATCTTAATTGCTTATATGTTGTACAGAAGCTTAATGAAGTTGTAGTACTATATTCCCCAAGGTCCTCCACCCTTTGGATGAAGTCTAATACTCTGTTCTCAACAATTTGCCATTCTGGTAGCTGAGCTAATTCTGTTAGAACAGAGGGTGTTGGCAACGTTTTAGAAGAACCTGGTGAGGTTGTCTAATCATACTCTTTATGCATCCATTTATATTTCTTTCCAATTGCTCCATAAAGTTTTTGTTACTAAAAATACACAGGGGCTTCAATCATTCAGTGATGTCCACATTGTGTAATCTCGGGTAAAGCGATGCCGAGCACCACAACTTTAAGCCAGTGCTACCACCACGGCACAGTGCCTATTTTAATGTTTCTGCATGGTGCTCATGCAGCTAAGAGTAAGAACCAGAATACAATATAGTATTTGCAACCTGAGCCACATGCTCCCCTGTTCTTTCAGGTGAGAGACAAAGGGGTGCAGGAGGCTGCTATTCTCCTTCTGTGGACCCTCCAGACTAGTCTTTTTCCTGTGGGGTGTCCATCGCCTTCTCCCGTCTCTGTTCACCCACATGTATGTTTGTGGAGAAAAATTGCCTTAGGTCAATCCTTTGCCTGTTTATAGAAATGGAGCAGTAGTTCCAATCATGCTCCTCCTGAATGCTAGCAAAACTGCTCTTAATTATTTGCTTGTCCATTACCGTCTTGTTTTGCTCCTCTTTGGGTCATTCCTGAAGTACTCATTTATGAACTTCTATTGAGGGCTAGTTTTTTGTACCCAGCTCCTATATATAGTCAGTGGATAGAGAGGAGTTGAGTTCTCCTCAGCCATAGACTTGGGCAAGTCCCTGTCCATCCCAGCTCTGAAAGTTGCAGTAATAGCCTGTTACTGAGTAGTTGTGATGATGAACCAAATAAAGGTGGCAAATCCCATTTGATGTATACATAAGAAATGGCAGTAAGGCTAACACCCCTCTGTGTAATAACCCTTTAAAAAGCATCTGTAAGGTTCTTCATGAGATTGCCTTGCTGGGACAGATTAAGGTTGATCCAGTTCAGCATTGTGACTTTATAATGACCAGGAAGATGACATGGGAAACGTCAGTAACTGCTGTTCCCTCTTCTCCCCACCACCCCCTGCATCCAGAAGTCAGAGAAATACTGCCATTGATCATAGAGGCTTGCCATCACTATTAAGCATTCAAAGAATTATCTTTCCATAATTTTTATATTCCTTTATTTTAAAAACCCAACATAAGCTGGTGGTTGTCGCCATACACTGCTTTAATAGCTTTCACAAGTTATTTTTTATGTTGTGTGAAGAGCTACCTTGGGTGGTTTTCTCATCACCTATGGAGTTGATTGGGTGGATTCTGACATCTAGTGTTGTGCAAGAAAGTAAGGGGGAGGGGGCAGATAAGTTATCCGTTCCCTTTACAGCAGTTATATTCTTAAATACCTCTATCCTATTACTCTTTATTCATCTTTCTTTTTCTTGTTTTCCTCTAAACTAACCTAAACGTGAAGACTGCCCCCTCAGAAAAATCAGTCTGCAGTATTTATGTATTTTATTTAGTTCATAAAATTTATACACTGCTTGATTGTAAAAATGTGGTTTACAAAAAATTAAACAATAAAATTAGCATTAAGAATAACCATAAGAATAATGTTTGTGATTTCCCCCTTTCTTACATTAGATTACCTTGACAATGGCAATAATAAAATGGCAATCCAGCAGGCAGACAAGTTGCTGAAGAAACACAAAGACCTTCACTGTGCTAAGGTAAGCTCAGGGTTTGTTTGTTTTAACATGCTAAAAAGTTCAGTCTTAAATAAACAAGGCAAGGCTCTTCTCTTTAGTTGTTGCATTGCTAGTAGAGGGTGGGGAACTTGAAGCCCTGAGAACTGAAGACAGTCCTCTAGACCTCTCTGTCTCCCACTTGGGACTCTCCCAGGGCCATATCCCTCATTGGCACTGCTCTGTGCCTTCCTCAGGTGCTTTTGCCTGACTGGAATATGTCCTTGAACTGTGATAATGCCTCTTGGTTGTCTGTAGAAAGCTTTGACTTCTGCAAATGGCTGGAATGTAGTGTGAACAATGCAAAAGTAAGAGTCAAATCCACTGCTCCACCCACTTTTGGATCTGGCCCCACCCACTTAAATCTGGCATGTGGCTCCTGGAAGGTTGCCCATGTGGGAATGTGACACATGGACTGAAAGGAGGTTCTGATTCCTGGGATGTTCTGGAAAAGAGGGAAGCTTTCTGCCATGTTTACCCTTAGCAATCATGGGACACATGGGGGTGGGAGGGTGAATGTGCTGTGACCACCACCAGTGCACAACTACAGTGGTACCTCGGGTTACAGACACTTCAGGTTACAGACGCTTCAGGTTACAGACTCCACTAACCCAGAATTAGTACCTCAGGTTAAGAACAGTTTCAGGTTAAGAATGGACATCCAGAACGAATTAAGTTCTTAACCTGAGGTACCACTGTACTTCTTTTTCAGCTTAACCCGTGTTACTCCAGCCTTTCTGTTCCACAAACTCACAACAATGAGGTCAACTTTGCTGCCACGTTAGTCAAGCTGTTGAATAGCAACAGAGCAAAAGTTAATGTTTTTTCAACTTTTGCTTCTATCTACATTGACGTGGCTCAGCAAAACAAGGCAATTAGGGTTGGTCAGTTGACCAAGTCAAACATACTTAAATGCTGTCACATGGTAGGTATAAGACTAATCACAAGAGGGGTGAGGAACCTCTGGCTTGCAGGTGACATCTGGCACAGAACAGGTCCCAGTGTTTCCCCCACACACTTGGTGTCAGAAATGGGGCATGTGTGGAAATGGCTGGATTGGTTGCCTGGCCAAGTTCCCCATGGGGAACTTGATCATGCAGCCAATCTCTGCAGAAAGCAGCTTTGCCAGCCGTATGTGCAGCACTGGGGAAGTGGCAAGCATAGGGTCGACAAAGCCCCTTGTTCTGTGGTTCTCAAGTGAGTGACTGACAGCCAGCTTGGAAGCGCTGCACAAGGGAATTTTGACAGGTGGGTAATCTGTGGTCTGTGGGGGTGGAGAATGATAAGGCTCTGACCCACTGGGCCAAGAAGGTTTTCCCACCCCTACAATATAGAGAAGTCTGGGGCAGACATGCCTGGTGGACTGCGTATTAGAATTGGCTGGCAGTAGTGGCTGTACTATGGACAACATGGCTGGGGGGGGGGCTGCTGGGTATTGGGCACGATCTGCCAACTAATGCCCCTCCAGATACCTGGAAAAATAAGATTGTTTTAATTCTCTGGAAGGGAAAACATCAAAGTCTCCACCTTCCAAACTTTCAGGAGAAGGGAATTCCAGCGACACAGCTGAGCAAGTTCTAAGTGCACCTTGTTAAATGCGGTATCCCCTTTCTACCCAGCTTATTAACATGAGGCTTGCTCAGTGTGCTCTTTCTATGAGATCTGGAATGGTAGGTATGTTGTGACCCCAACATTTTATTACAGTGTTGGCTAGTGATGTGTCTCAAAGGCTGAGCTTACTTAGATTTCTAAGTCTTCTGTTAAGTTAACCAGATGTCCAGTGAACTAAGGCTGGGGTGGGGAACCTGTGGTCCTCCAGAGGTTGCTGGAACACACCTCCCATCTCCTTGACTGTTGGCCATACCGGCTGGGTGCGATGGGAGTTGGAGCCCCAACAACATTTGGAGGGTCACGGGCTCTTCATCCCTGAACTAAGGTTGGCAGGAGGTGCAGAAGAGAACATAAGAAGTTGTATTATATATAAAAAGACCATTGGTTCCTCTAGCTCAATATTATCCACACTGGCAGCAGCTGTTCAGCGCTTCAACCAGGCTTTCCCAAGCCCACCTGGAGACATCAGAGGTTGAATCTCAGGCCACTTGAATTCAGAGCATGCGCTCTGTCCGTGGGCTGCAGCTCCTTCCTTTGGTACGTGCTGCATTGTTACCACCCGCCAAAACAATTCTGCCCCATTCACTGTATGTATATCGTTGCTGGGAAACCCTTTAAAAGTTGCTTCTTTGATCCATGTGCAGGTTTTGAAAGCAATCGGCCTGCAAAGAACCGGGAAGCAAGATGAAGCATTCACTTTAGCACAAGAAGTAGCTGCTCTTGAACCCACGGAGGATAATTCGTTACAAGCTCTGACTATTCTATACCGGGAAATGCATCGGCGTGAGTTCTTTGGTTTTCCTTCCTATTTCAGACATTCAGACATTTCAGAGAATGCTGTTGCCGGTGTCCTGCTTACAACAGCAGTCCTGATTCAAAAGCACTAGTGTGGCAGGCAGTCGGCAGCTAATTGATGGGGAGGGGTGGTGAGGTAGCCACTTAAGCTGCGTTGTTCTCTAGACATAATGTTTCCCATAGTATTTAATTCTGGGTTGTAGAAAATAGGAGGAGTGATGGGACAGGGTCCTGCATTGATGGTGGAGACAGTAGACAGTAGACACAGCACCAGATTGCTGGGTCTTGCTGCCATTTTAATACTTTTACAATGCTTCAGACGTAGTGTCACTCCAGGAGAAATTGGAGTGCAGCTAAACCAAGCAGCTTAGAGTGCTGGGTCAGTGGTTTTTGTTTTGTAAGGGGGGGGGCAAGGCAGATATTGGGGCCCCATCAGCTTCCCATGGGAGCAAAGTGCTGACACCAGCCCTAGGGAAAGGATAAAGGTACTCAACACACATTCTGTGACAAAAGGCATGCAGAATGCAAGTCTGGAAAAATCACAAGTGCTGGCCACACAGGTCCCAACAAATCTGAAGTCCCCCCCCCGCCCCCTTTACTAGGGGTGAAGCCTCATTTTTAAAAAACTTTGTGAAGGCTGTTTTGAGTTCTGTACTCTGTACAATCACTTAGGGTTTGGGAGAAGTCTATAGGTCCTAACCAAACACACAACCTGTTTCTTAAAATGTCTCATTTAGCGGAGCTGGTCACAAAACTCTACGAGGCAGCTGTGAAGAAAGTTCCCAGCAGTGAAGAGTATCATTCCCACCTCTTCATGGCCTATGCAAGGGTTGGGGAATACAAGAAGATGCAACAGGTAATTTACCTGAATCGGAGCTAGGTCAATTGAGCTTGAGAGTGAATACACCCCTCAGAGAGGCAACTCAACCTAAAATCAGCCTAAAGATCTGTTGACATTCCATGTGTATATGTAAACCTATTAGTAATCTGTTGTGGATAAAGTCTCGTATAGTATATAAGTTGTGTTTACATAGAATTGTAGAGTTGGAAGGGACCACGAGGGTCATCTAGTCCAACCCGCTGCAATGCAGGAATCTTTTGCCCAACGTGGGACTCAAACCCACAACCCTGAGCTTAAAAGTCTCATGCTCTACCAACTGGCCATGTCCTCCACTCATAGTAAACACTTACTCTGAAACCTTTTTGAAAATTTGACGACCTTGGTTTAAAATACTTGTGATTTGAGGTGCCTTTAAGTGCTTTGCATTTGCATTTAACCTGTAATGTTTGAAAAAATGTGTAAAGAGACAGTGTCATTAATGTGACGGACCCATGAAATTAATTTATGGACCTAGTCTAGCAAATCCTTTATCTTGTGAGTAGCACTACTTAAAAGCATCGGCTTGCTATGTGCATTGATAACAGATGCATTCATATCAATATATGCACACTTAAAGGGTATAATCATCTTGTAATATCAGGCTTTGCAAATGTGCAAAATGCAAGTAAGCAGAGGTCCCTGTTGACTTTAGTGTATCCGCACCTGACTATGAGAGGGAGGGGGGTGAAGAGAGAAACACCTATATTAAATATGATGATCTAGCTATGTGTTGAGTGCCATTATCAGCAAAATTGAATCCAGAATTCGTTTTTGTGGGGAAGCTGTTGTTCAGGAAACTTGTCTTCTCATTAAGGAACTCCTGAAATACTGCCAGTTTACTTGGAACATATTTTGATGGGTTCTGGTTTGTGAAAAGGAACAGTTTCCTGTTGTGGTTAACAGGTTTGAGCAAATAAGTCTTGCATTTAACATTGGTACAAGAATTCAAAGACAAGTAAATTAGTCCATGGATAGTCAAACCGAAACCATTCCTCTCTCAGGTGTTTCTAGTAAGAACTTTCAGTGGGTCTCCTTTACCACAGGCTGAAGTATAATGATTTATTTATACCTCCTTCTTTTTCAGGCTGGAATGGCACTTTATAAGATTGTTCCCAAAAACCCTTACTATTTTTGGTCTGTGATGAGCTTAATTATGCAGGTGGGTACAGAGTCTCAAGGGAGATAACATTTCCTTGGAAATAATCTGCCCTTTTTTAATTTTATTTTCTGTGTGAAGATGCTCAGTACATTTTGAGGGTAGACTCTGTACTGCAAGTGCATCACACATTGTCAGTACAGTGGTACCTCGGGTTACATACGCTTCAGGTTACAGACTCCACTAAACCAGAAATAGTACCTCGGGTTAAGAACTTTGCTTCAGGATGAGAACAGAAATCGTGCTCTGGCGGCGCGGCAGCAGCAGGAGGCCCCATTAGCTAAAGTGGTGCTTCAGGTTAAGAACAGTTTCAGGTTAAGAACGGACCTCCAGAATGAATTAAGTACTTAACCCGAGGTACCACTGCATACTGCAAGTGTTGTAAAACAGAGTTGCCAATGTGGTGCACTCCAGATGTTTTACTCCCAACTCCCATAGCCACTGGTCATGCTGGCTGAGACTGGTTGGAGGGCACGACATTGGCTACCCTTATCACAGAGCTTGTTTGCAGGTTGGGACTGGGAGTTTGTCATCTTAGATGGGGCATGTTGTGAGATAAACAGAGAATTCGAGAAGTCTTAACCAGATGCCCTTCAATACTCCCTCAGGTCATAGATGGATCACTCCTCCACTCCAAGTATGATTGTAGCAACTGAATATAATCTGTTCCCCCAGGGTATGAGAGGGATTGAGATGAGCTCATAGCCCGCCTCTCTGCCTCTCTCGCTTCAGTCTATAATTGTTCTCCTAAATGAGTTCTGAGATTGTTACTTGAGATTGACTATTGGTGTAAATCTGGAGTTCGGCCAAGCAATAGCCTATCAAAGGCCATTGGCAGAATCCTTTTGCAGTCTGTCTGAAATCAACAAGAGAACTGGCACACTGCATTACTAGTTCATTTCAACTACCGCATTTTTCGCTCTAGGAGACGCACCCGACCATAAGACGCACCTAGTTTTAGAGGAGGAGAACAAGAAAAAAAAATTCTCTCCCTCTCTGCGCAGCGCCCCTTCAGCGACGCGGCAGGAGAAACGGAGCCCCTTCCATTTCTCCTCCCGCTTCGCTGAAGGGGCGCTGCGCAGAGAGGGAAAGCTGCACAGCACCTCTCCAGCGAAGCGAAGCCAGGAGAGCAAGAGGGATCGATCCCTCTTGCTCTCCTGGCTTCAGCAAAAGCAACGCGAAGCCTCCGGAGCACAGCGGGAGCATTCCTGCTGCGCTCCAGAGGCTTTGCGTTGCTTTCGCTAAAGCCATGGAGCCTGCATTCACTCCATAAGACGCACACACATTTCCCCTTTTTAGGAGGGGAAAAGTGTGTCTTATAGAGCGAAAAATACGGTAACTTGGCAATTCATTTTCTTCATTTTTGTGTGTGATGCAATCCCAGAACATAATCAACACTATTTCCTTGTGGGTGAGAGGAGCATGTTTACTGAGCAGAACTTTCAACTAATTTTTCCCAAGTTTGCCAGAATGTTCACTTGTTTATCGGAACATTCACAGCAGCTGAAAACTTTTGACTAGGCCCATAGTTGAGAGCACAGAGCATATGTTTTGCCCACAGAGAGTCATCCGTTCAGCCTCTGTTACCTCCAGTAGCTGAGCTAGGAAAGAATGGTTGCCAGTCAGAGTGGAAAGATGCTAGATGAAACAATGGTCGATTCTGTATAAGGCAGCTCTATATGTTCTTCTCTTTCAGTCTATATCTGCACAGGATGAAAATCTCTCAAAAACCATGTTTTTGCCTCTAGCTGAAAGAATGGTAGAAAAAATGGTAAAGGAAGAAAAAATTGAAGCTGAGGCAGAAGTAAGATATATTTTTTAAAAAAAACTAATTGTCGATGTAATTAATTCAGCTTCTGCTATCACTGAATTATTACAGCTAGCTTTTGAATAGTTTATTTTGCATGTTACAAGCAAATGGAAGGTGTGGCTTAGAAGAGGCACATTGCTAAGGTAGAAAGTAAGGGGTACTTGAGCATGTCCCCGATTTGAATTAATCCTTCTCCAAAACTTGATGGGATTCCGCTCTTTTGGTTACAGCTCTTTTCAAGCTTGACAGGATAATGTGGATATCTGTAAAAGTGCTGGTGGCCTGGGTATGCGGCAGAGAAGATCTGAGTAGTTTCAAGGGGCCCATAATTGGATCAAGTGAATTGGCTTTTGATACAAAAACCTTTCTGTCTTTCCCTGCAAACCCTATGCAGAGAGAATACTCCAGATCAGGTGTGAGTCCCAGCTGCTTTTTCTGTTGACCAGAGTGGCAACCCTCTTAACAAGAGTAAGAAACAGTGCAGAATATGGAGTTTTGTTTTTAGTTCCTCAGATTTGCCCTGTGTTTCCTGCCCACCTCTTTATTTGGCAATTTGTCTTCCAGAGGCTTTGGGTTTTGGAGCAAGGAGGCATTTCAACCACTAGTGGGCCACTATCTTTGCAAGGCCAGCCTATCAAAATGTAGCAATACAAACAAGTTTAAAGTTAATAGATGGATAAAAATAAGATAGAAGAAAGGGCTAGAGGGGTAATGCTAAAGATAAATTATTAGTTTTCTTCCAATTTGTCGGGTAGCATAGATTTTTCACTCCACTTGAATATGGTCTCTTTAAAAAGACAGTTGCAGAGACTGCTTCTGGCGGTAACCTCACTGCCTCTTGTTTCAGTTGCATCCTGTTTCTCTTAACTTCCACAGGTTGAGCTTTACTACATGATTCTAGAACGCTTGGAGAAATACCAGGAAGCTCTGGATGTTGTGAGAGGAAAATTAGGAGGTAGTGTATCTCTTTTTCAAATTTGACAACTGACAAGTCTCGCGGGTGGCGCTGTGGGTTAAACCACAGAGCCTAGGACTTGCAAATCAGAAGGTCGGCAGTTCGAATCCCCGTGACGGGGTGAGCTCCCGTTGCTCAGTCCCTGCTCCTGCCAACCTAGCAGTTCGAAAGCACGTCAAAGTGCAAGTAGATAAATAGGTACCGCTCTGGCGGGAAGGTAAACGGCGTTTCCGTGCACTGCTCTGGTTCGCCAGAAGTGGCTCAGTCATGCTGGCCACATGACCCGGAAGCTGTACACCGGCTCCCTCAGCCAGTAAAGCGAGATGAGCACCGCAACCCCAGAGTTGGTCACGACTAGACCTAATGGTCAGGGGTCCCTTTACCTTTACCTTTAAGTCTCAGTGGTTTGTAGACAAAGGTGCAGCTTCCATATTTGGAGGCAGCGTCCCTCTAAATACCAGTTGATGGGGGTGAAACAGCCGGTGGTGATTGCTGCTGTCATGTCCCGTTGTAGGCTTTCCAGAGGCATCTTGTTACCCAGATGCTGAACCAGATAAGGCTTTTTGCCCAGCATGGATAAAAATAAAACATTTTTTAAAGTCAAACCAGACTTCCATATACGTTTCAAATCAGTTATGTGACATATTCCTTCAAAGTAGCCTGATTCACATTATGTGGGCGCGATAAATCTCTAGTGATAATCTCTTAATTGAATCTATGACCCTCCGTTAAATAAGTAGAGTTAATGCTTTCTTTTCAGCATACGCAATTATGCTGATTAGAGCAAACTACAGACAAAACCGTATGGCTTTGAAATCGAGCAATATAAACACAACACAGTAGGTCATGTTTTGTATTTATTGTGAACATTTAAATAAATATGTAGACTCTTGTCAAATGAAGAACATGGACATTTACTCCATGTTACAGCAAAGCACTGCTCTGCACATGGTTTGGGCACTTGTAATCCATTGCACAAAGGATTGCCAGCCGTTTAACTTTCACTATGTTATCTCACAGACTCTCTGCCCACAGCATTGTTTCATGTGCATATGTGAAGTTCTCTCCTGCCCACCCTACTCCAGGCATTTTGCATTATTTGGTAAAGTAAAACAGCTTTCTGAGTAAGCCCATCTAAGTTTATTTTATGTTTCTAGCCTGTCTGCAGCCTTATCTGTTTGGGGGCAGGGGGAGAGATTGCTTTTGCGATTAAGACTTTGTGAATTTATGACTCTTTTTGTTCCATTTAGAGAAGTTAACCAGTGAGCTCCAGAGCAGAGAGAACAAGTGCATGGAGATGTACAAAAAACTGGGCAAGTGGCCAGAATGCAACGCACTCTCCAGGAAACTTCTGCTGAAAAAGTGAGTGGGAATTTCAGCTCCTTTTTTTTTATTATCTTTAACCGAACTGAAGCAAAAGGTATTAACTCCTTCATCGCCACTACTGCACCATCATATTCCCAAGGCAAATAAGCAAGTTTTTGTGACAAGCCCAAAGGAATATCTTCTTGTTCCTCCTAATTTAAGAGCCTAAATCTCTTTATATTTCCACCCCCACCCAGCCCAGGATGTGAGGGGGTGGGATGCTTGTCCTATTAAAGAGGCTTGATTGGATCCACCCTACTTCCACTGGCTGAAAGCAGCACTTTCAGTTACAACAAGAGCCGCCAGAGACTTTGATAGATTTGGGGGCAGTTTGGAAAAATTGCCTTCCCTCCTAAGGTCAACGAAAAGGAAGTTTTAGTTTTTTAAAGAGCAAGTAGCAATGGAAACCTTGAGAGAAAGTCTGTAGTTCAGTGATAGAGCACTTACTTTGCATATGAAAGGTCTGGGGAAGTCTCCCTGTTTGAAACCCTGGAGAACTGCTGCCAGTCAGTGTAGAATACAGTGGTACCTCAGGTTAAGTACTTCATTCGTTCTGGAGGTCCATACTTAACCTGAAACTGTTCTTAACCTGAAGCACCACTTTAGCTAATGGGGCCTCCTGCTGCTGCTGCGCCGCCGGAGCACGATTTCTGTTCTCATCCTGAAGCATAGTTCTTAACCTGAAGCACTATTTCTGGGTTAGTGGAGTCTGTAACCTGAAGTGTATGTAACCTGAGGTACCACTGTATTAAATGACCGGTATAGGCCGGTATGGTGCAGTGGTTAGAGTGCCCGACAAGGGCCTCTAGGTTTCAAATCCTCCACTCAGCTATGAAGCTCACTGGGTGACCTTGGGCCAGTCACTCACTCTGAGCCTAACCAACCTCACAGGGTTGTTGTGATGATAAAATGTGGAGGAGAACTATGTGCACCACTGTGAGCTTCTTGGAGGAAAGGTGGGAGTATAAATGTCACAAATAAATTGGTCTGACTTGGTGTAAGGCACCTTCCTGTGTTCCTAATAAGCATTAATAAAGCAGCAGTCTGACTTTTATAATGGATAAGAACAAGTTTCAGGGTCCCCCCTGCTCTGCCCTGTCATCAGATACAATGGTATCTAAAATATAGTAAATTATGAAATTTTAACTCACCTCTTTGAGATAAGCATTCTTCCCAGACCATAGCTGTGGGAGAGTCTGGGGACAAGTGGGAGGGAGATAGCTTCCCTCTGAATGTCTAGCTTTCATTAAAAATATCAAAATGGTCTAGCTCTTTCACACAGGGAGATCAATAAGGAAAAACATGGTCATTGTTCTCCTCAAGTGCTTTGCAAGAAGTCAGCCTTCACTCACCTCTCAAAAGCCTGGCTTGTGAATAGAGAGGTACTGTGGTGGTTGACAAATACTTAGACAAAGAACTAGTTTGTTTGTCATTTAATTTATAGGAAAATTTGTTTGACTGTTTAATTAAGTTACTTTTACTGTTGACCCCCCCCCCCCCCCCGGTTATGTGTTGAAAGAGAAGGCCTCTGTTGGCAGAGTATTCCTAAAGACTGGGCTGGTGATGCTAAAGGCTCAATATTTTCACTGGTGCATTTTTTTGTTAGGGATGCTTATCTTAAGTTGCCTTTTCTTTAAGACATGAAAGGCAACAGACATGAAGCTGTTCTTATCTTCCTTGCTAGGAGAATACTAGTGAATCTCAGGACACTTTTACCCCAGATGCGGGCGTTTTGCCTTCCGTAACATGAAAAAGAGAGAGAGAGAGAGAAGATGTTTTACACTGTGCTCAGTTCTTCTGCTTGCCTCTTTTCTGTTTTAGCCCAGATGATTGGCAGTTTTATATGATCTATTTCGATTCCATCTTTCAACTGATTGACGCAGCCTGGACTCCCCCAGCTGAAGGAGAGCAGTGAGTATCTTACTCTCTCTTGAGGGCTTTGAGCGTTTGTCTCTTTTTAATTGAAATATTTGCATGGTAAGGGGGCTTTGAGAGTAGAGAAATAGGGGCTTATTTCCTTAGTACACTTGGCTGTTAGTTCCTTACTCCCAAACACAGCACCAGCTATTTCCTGCATCTGGATCCTATGTCATCTAGGAAGAAATGTCTTGAAGAGTACCAAATGAGTGCCCAGTGCATCAACTCATGTGAAGTCGTACTTGTAAAAATTCAGATGTTTCCACTCATCTCTCCTATCCAGGGGCATGAGACACTTCTACCTTCTTGAATACTTCAGTAGTTCAAATCTTGATCCAAAATGAGTTCTGGGTTTGCATGTAACACTCAGCCATGGCTGACACAAACCCAAGGCTCATAAGAAACAACAAATTATGGTTTACAAGTATGATCAGTTTATGGTTGGCAAATCATAATTAAGCTGCTGGCTAGGTTTGGACAATCAAATAAAGCATGGTCTAATACCCATAGTTTATTAAAACATGGTGTGGTGTTACATGTGAACCGTGCCAGTGACATCACAGACACCAGCTTTCCTTTCCTCTTAGGCTACCTAATTTTTATTCAGTTTTTGGCAGACACTGAAAGACTAGCAATATTCATTTGTTCGTTCATTCAAACCAAAATTGGTTTGAGGTAACAAGAAAACAGAACCTGCCTTTCATCAGTGGGAACAATCGACACAATATTACACAATGATGATAATAGCAACACAAGTAAATAAAATAGAAGCTACAAATTTAAAACCAAGAAACAGAAAGGCATCAGTCTGCACTTTGCTTCTAAGATACCTCGGCAAATGAAGTCTTAACTTTTCAGCAAAAATAATGTGATGCTGGTGCCAGATAGATCCCCTTCAAGAAGGTATTTTAAAGTTGAGGCGTCAATACAAAAAGCTCTCTCCTTTGTAATTCATAACATTCCTCTCCTAAAGAAGGTGCTTGGAGCTTTACCCCTAAACTCCCACATGGACATGGGTTCAGACAGAATCTTCTTTTCATTTCTTCCTTTTAATGAGTGTCACAGACACTCCTCTGCCTGCCAACTGGGATGTAGGCAAAGTTCCAGTTTCAGCATCAGCCAAAGGTTTGTTACTGTCTTCACCTTACTATACACCCAGCTGGTTGCTCCAGCTGTCTCTTGGCTTGTGAACACTTTGAGGTCAAAATAAGAGGAGGACTCTGGTCAAGCCTTCGCTGCTCTTCAGATGGGGAGGAGGGTTTAAAACAGGGATGAGAAACCTGCAGCTCTCTGGATATGGTTGGGCTTTCAGCTCCCAACATGCCTGCCCATTGGTCATGGTGGCTGCAAGGGCTGATAGGAGTTGGAGTCCCAAGAACATCTGGATGGCCATAATTCCCTCATCCCTGGGTTAAAGGGTCCTTGGCTTGTGCAGGGGGAAATATGGTAAAGAATGGGGGGGGGGTTTAGGAAGTGGGGGCTTTGAATCGGAGGGGCTTTGAATTGGAGCTATACTAGGAGGCAGGAAGCTGCCATGAGCGGTATTTAGCCCCTGGACCTGCAGTTGTCCATTCTCATCCTAAAAAGTCATGTTTTTTACATGTTACATGTTATTTACATGTTACATACTAGGCTCTGGTGGGCAGGGTAGCAGCAATGCAGTGTCCCATTCCTTGATCAGAATTTCACAAAAAGGCCGTTTGGAGGCACCGGAACTCATACTTCCTTTTTGTGCGCAGCTCTCTCGAAGGCGAAGTGCATCACAGCACAGAGCAAGCCATGGCTTTCATAGAGCAGAGGATAACACAAGAAGCCAACAGCGCCCGGCCACTCCGGGGACCTTTCCTCGCCCGACTGGAGCTGATCAGGCGCTTGCGGCACCGAGGCTGCAGTGAAGAACACAAATTGGGTAAGGGCCACTAATGGGACGCCAAATTGAGCCTCACGGGGAGAGGGTGTGAAAGTAGAACCAGGGCTCCGTCCTGGGATTGCCGCAGCTGATGTAAACTCTGCACAAGAATTGCAGAAATCCACCCATGCTTTGGGGAGAGGATTGTTTGTCTTCTATTTTAATCCTTGGCGTGGAGAGGCAGCTTGTGAATGGTAAATATTTAGTTGGTAACACACTGGAGCCTCAAGAATTGCTGCAGCACAAGGAACGCTAAAACTAGCTTTGTGTGTGTGTATTATTAGTGTTTTAAGAGTTGTCTCCCTGCTGAGAGTGAAGTAGAATCCCTTCAGTAGTTGGAGAAATAGTTCGTGCGGCACATTCTTCACAAATTGTCAAGTGAAGTGTATTTGCATCCCTGCTGCTATTTTATAGTTAAAAATCTAAATGGAAATTTACTGGGCAGATAGTTGGGAGCTCATGTCCTTTTAAAAAGAAGCAAGCAGGGATCTGCAACAAGATATTGTAGTGTGACCACACCCACTAATATAGCCTGGAACCTTTAGTATTGTTCAGGACTCTTGACTTAGGTGGGGGATGAGTTTCAGGAGTAGGGAAGGGATAAGAATACTTCTTTCCCCTTCCCCCCCAACTCCAAGGCCTTCTGCTGTCCCACCTGCCCCAAAGATCTCATAGCTTTATAGTGGGGTGGGGGGCATACAGTTCTAGAGATGGACAAGGAATCCTTCCCTCAAACTCCCCACACATACACCAGATATTTGCTATGATATTTACTTTATTTGTTGGTTGCTTGAACAAGTCAAATTCCTTCTTTTTCTTTGCCCCCCCCCTTTTCTTTTGGGAGGATTGTATGGATGGTTCACAACTATTCAGTCTCTCAAACTACAGACTTGACTTCCACTGCCTTCCTGATTCCTGGTTTCTATGGGCCCTTTTTAGGAACATAAGGTAAAGGTAAAGGGACCCCTGACCATTAGGTCCAGTCGCGGACGACTCTGGGGTTGCGGTGCTCATATTGCTTTATTGGCCGAGGGAGCCGGCGTACAGCTTCCGGGTCATGTGGCCAGCATGACTAAACTGCTTCTGGCGAACCAGAGCAGCGCACGGAAACGCCGTTTACCTTCCCGCCGGAGCGGTACCTATTTATCTACATGCACTTTGACGTGCTTTCGAACTGCTAGGTTGGCAGGAGCAGGGACCGAGCAACGGGAGCTCACCCCGTCGTGGGGATTTGAACCGCTGACCTTCTGATCAGCAAGTCCTAGGCTCTGTGGTTTAACCCACAGCGCCACCCGCATCCCTTTTTAGGAACATAGGAAGCTGCCTTATGCTATTGGTCCATATTGCTCACTGTTGTCTGCAGTGACAGGCGGTTGCTCCTCCAGGTTTCATCAGACTGGTGACATGCCCAGCCTTGCCTGGAGATGTCAGGGATTGAACCTGGGACCTTCTGCATGCAAAGCACATGCTCCACCCCAGAACTATGGCCATTTGCATTTTCTCCTCCCTCCATTGTCTCTCTCTCTAAGCTCAGTTGCCACCAACAATTTGTAAGCTCACAGGCTCCTGTCATGCAGTTATTGCTATTAGAGGGAATGGTATATTGCAATGATGGTGAACCTCTCAATTTGGCCCATGCGGCTTGCACGACAGGTTAAGCTGAGGATACAAAGAGACAATGGGAAGTCTCAGAGTGCACTCTTGATTGTTCCTTTGTTGCCCCTGCTTGCATTCAGCACTGTTTAAGTTTGGCTATGAGTGCAAGCCTTGCTGCTTTTGAGTGGAGTCTCTTCTACTCAGATCTGCACCGAATGCAAGCAAGGGCTAGAAAGGGACAATAAGGAGGGCACTCCAAGCCACATGCTCCTGATTCTTCCTTTGGAGCCTCAGCTTGCATTCTGCACACTTTAAATTTGTCACTGAATGCAAGCCCTGCTGCTTTTAGGTGGAATCACTTCCACCTGACATCACTTGACATCATGTGGTTGACAGTAGGCTGCCCTGTCCACCTATGAAATGTGGCCTCTGAAAGATTGGCCACTATTTGAACAGGCTTGCCTAACAAAAACATTAAAAAATAGTCCAGTAGCGCCTTCTTCAGGTATCTGAAGAAATGTGCATGCACACGAAAGCTCATACCAAGAACAAACTTAGTTGGTCTCTAAGGTGCTACTGGAGTATTTTTTATACATATACGTATACATATACATATACATCTACATATCTATCTATCTATCATCTATCTATCTATCTATCTATCTATCTATCTACTGGCGCTGTGGTCTAAACCACTGAGCCTAGGGCTTGACGATCAGAAGGTTGGCGGTTCAAATCCCCATGACAGGATTCTCCTCCTGTTGTTCGGTCCCAGCTCCTGCCAACCTAGCAGTTCAAAAGCACAGCAAAGTGCAAGTAGATAAATAGGTACCGCTCCGGTTGGAAGGAAAATGGTGTTTCCAGCGTTGCTCTGGTTCGCCAGAAGCGGCTTAGTCATGCTGGCCCCATGACCCGGAAGCTGTACGCCGGCTCCCTCGGCAAATAAAGCGAGATGAGCGCCGCAGCCCCGAGTCGTCCGCTACTGGACCTAACGGTCAGGGGCACCTTTACCTTTACTGCATCAGACCAACACGGCTACCTACCTGAATCTAACAAAAGCAGTTCCCCATCTTAGTTGTATGCCCAAATTGTTGTATTTATGTCTGTGTGTAGAGGCACGTTTGCCAAGGATTTACAGAGAGAAGATAACTGAGTTCAGAAAGAAGTGTACCATAACCTGTATTTCCACTCCCTCCACCCCCACAAAGAGTGTTTGTGGCTGGCATACCTCCATCACTATAAACATAGCAGGCAAAGGGTGGCAGAGGGCAGAAAAGAAAGATGTGCTCCATCCCTTTCCCACTTGTAGAACTCTCCATCTCTCCCACCCCCAAGCCAGAGAGAGTGTGCCAACAGAGGATATGTTAAAAATGAAAACACTCAGTTAAAATTGCAAGCCTTACTCAGAAAATGAAACTTTCTATATTCCTCGCATGTTGCCTTCTCAATTGCACACTTGATTTTCCTTCAGTTATTTGGAATCATCTTTGTTTAGCACCTAGCTTCCTAATTCATCATGATAGTCTTAAATTACTACTGTATTAAATTTCAAAGTACACCAGGGAGTCATGTCAGTTCAGTAAGAGAAGCTAAGGTGTAGATATGTCAATTCCCTTCAGTTATCTGTTTTACTGCTGAAAAACATCTTAAATCACTGCTCTTATACTCGTAAGGTGATCCAGAAGAGCTGATGTTCCAATATTTCAAACAATTTGGGGACAAACCCTGCTGCTTTACTGATCTCAAGGTGTTTATAGATCTCCTCCCACCAACCCAATATACAAAGGTAAGTTTGGTGGTCATTTGTTTGCTGATCTTTTCTCTTCCTTTCTTTTCAGTACAGCATGATTGTATTATTTGTTCCAATGATTGAAATATACAATTAAGGCAAAACGTTTTGGGTGCAACTTGGGATTATGCAGAAACTTGAAGGCCTGTGTGCTCCTGCCCCAGCTCAGGGCAATCTGACTAAAGATGCTGTTTTATCTATTTTTTAATATACTGCTTAATTTTTTTTTCTAGTTTCCCTCTGCTTCCTATGCTGTGCAGGGCAGCGAGGGCCCTGCCCCAATATTCAAAAGAGCAAAAGAGACTTTGCTGTCAGGAGTAGCTGTACTGAGTGATTTCAGCAGCTGGAAATCCTGGTGCTCAACTCATTGTTCTTCTAAGCCCCTGTGGCTAGAGGGTTAAATGTGCAAAAGAAAAAACCTGGCCTGTCAGAGGCTGTAAACAAAACTGCTGAGAACTATGGTCCCAGCACTATTGAGGTTAAGAGGGGGGTTTTGTCGTTGTTCTTTTGCTAGCTCCAATGTGGCTCTCGCCAAAGGTCACTGAGCAATTGAGTGTAATCCAGCAGATGCCATTTCTAAGCAGTTTGTAAACATCAGTACATTAAAAACAAATCCTACTTCAAAATATTAGGATAGATGTTGCTGCCTTATACCACTTCAGCAGGAGTCCCCATTGCCCAATATTGATGGCAGCAGCTTTCTAAGATCACAGGTGGAAGGTGACTACCCTGCCCTGAAATCCTAACCTGTTGCCTTATACCTGCCGATGGTCCCTTAATTAAAAGCCTTACTGGAAGGGAAAGCATCGTTGTAACTCCTCGAAAATTTCTCTCCCTCACACACTTGATGCAGGCTTTCCAAGACAGGAATTTTGGCTTTCCAAGGCAAGGTCATATGTAGGGTTTGTCACTTAAGAGTGAAATCTAAGATCTGGTGCTGAATTGTGAGTTTTTAGAAGTTTTTTTTTTTTTAAAAAAAGTGTGTTTCTCTTAGGACTGCAGGGAGACTCAAGAAGGTGGCAGTGTTTAAGGGAAGAGGGCACTACATAGCCACTGATTCCCTAGCTCATGCCTCTACATGCCACTCATCTCACTATTTGTTTGTTCATTGGTTTCTTTCATGGTATCCATGGGGGAGGGGAGAGTAGGATGCCATTTGCTTCCCCTACAATGCCAGCTTTCCCGAATTCGTGCCCTTGAACAAGTGATATTGTGCAGCGATTTCAAGTATATTCATTGAAAATGTTTGTCCCCAGGCTCTCATAGATGATAAGGATTTGAGAATTCTGCCCTTTCTTCACAATGTTCCTAACCAAACAAGCCTGCACCATGCCCCTGCAGAACCCAGTGCAGAACAGTTTCTAGCTGGAAAATTTAGGTGTTTTCTGTTCTCAACCAGGCTTTTGCAACCTGGTGCCCTCAAGGCATTTTGATGGGAGTTGTAGTCCAAAACACTTGACGGGCACCAGATTGCACAAGGCTGATGTAGACATACAACCTGCTTATACATTTTGAAGCTTCTGCTGCACATTCATCTTCTTGGCGCATTTTAGCCTTGCTCTTCAGCTGCAGCGGTTCCCTAAGTGGTTTAAACAATAATTTAAAAAGCCAATCCCAGTTTACAGGCTTAGATTATGAAAAATACAAGGACCACCACCAGATTTATTTATAACAACGGATGTAAATCTTTCCAAGGCAGCTTACAAGTAACATTTAAAATGTAATGTTTTCTAGTATAACAATGCAAGAAACCCCCATGCAATAAAAATAACACCCTTCCCTCATAAGAATAATATAGTGAGAGCAGCCAAATATACCCTGCCATAACTGGCCATGCATTGCCAGACGTTGCATGCCAGAATCAGTTTCTGATATGTAAAGACACCCCCTGTTTCTACAAAACAGCTTTCCATTCAGTGCTGCTAACTGTTTAGTCAGCTTTTCCATGTGAGCCAGAGTCCAAACCTTTCGTCTCCAAGCAGACAACTGCAAATTATCTAAACCAAATTTGGAGCAATCGGTAGACGAGCTGCAGCCAGTAGAAAGGTGATCGGTTATTTGAGGAGAAGGTCCTTCTGCCCATCCTTAAACTTTGTTGTTCAGGCCAGTTGTGGCGTACATTGAACAGACGGTTTTGAGATCAAGCTTTCCCCCTAGTTTTCAACTGCATTTTTAAAAACCAGAAAAGACAATAATCAACACATACAGATTCATTAGAATCCTTCCCATAGGGCAGCTGGTGGTAGATGCAAAAGGAAAAAGGGGTGAGGAGGGAAAAAGAAAAGCAGACTCAGGTGCTAATTCTTGAAGTTTTCATAATGCCAGGTGGAATGGAAACAGTTCGGGGGGTGGGGAACCAAAGGTAACTGGTCTCAGCAGCATTGATGGGATCTCTCTGCCATCCCTGCTAGGTACTGAAAATCTAACATTTCCTTTTCCCTCCCCCACAGTTCATCAACCAGTTGCTGGGGGTCATCCCCCTGTCTGCACCAGCAGAAGAGAAACTTGCACTACCAGCTAACATCAAAGCTTTGCAGCAACACTTGTGTGTCGTGCAGTTGACAAGGTTGCTTGGCCTCTACCACACCATGGACAAAGCCCAAAAGCTGGGAGCCATCCAGGACTTGATGTCACGATATCGGCACGGACTGGATTTTGGTGAGGAGGGCTTGAATCTAGCCTAAATGTCAGACCACTTCTCTGTTCTTGGGGAAAATCCTAATAATTACTGTACTTTTACGTGTATGACTAGGTTTTTATGATAAAAAAAATGTAAAATAATTGGGGTCATCTTATACAAGGGCAATCTCCCCCCTCCCATTTTCTCAATTTTTAGTCCCCCAAAATAGGGGGCATCTTATACATGGGGGTGTGTTATACATGGAAAAATATGGTATTTCCTCTGCCTCTTACCATGTCATTGCTATTGGCTTACTTCAGCTCCCTGATGCATTTCATCCTTCCTCTGATGAGTTCTAGAGTGGAGTCCAATGGATTCCTACTTATCTTCAGGGATGGAACTGCATCAGATATCTTACATGGTTTGCTTGGTTTTTAATGGATTTTGCTTTGACAAACTGAAAAAGTTACTTTAGTCAGAGAAGGATTATAAGCAGATGTGGTTTAACTGTTTATTAGTTAAATCGTAGGTAAAAGGTCTATGCTGATTTCCAGAAATAAGAAATTGGCTGGCATTCAACTAAGTTTTACTCAAGGGTAGAGCCACTGAACATGACTAAGGTAGGTTCATTAGTTTCAATAGCTCCACTCTTAAGTAAAACTTAGTTAAATATGGCACATAGGGTGCAATGCTAGGCATGCTTAACTGTTGGATTATGTCCCATTGAATTCAGTGGGGCAGACTTCTGTGTAAATATGCAAGAAGTACTGTAGCTACTTGCTAAACAATACCTTTTGCAAGCCAGGTGTTGTTTAAAATTCTAGACCCACAAGTTTTTCAGTTACATTGCTTGACTTTGTTTTTCCATAGGAAAATCTTGTTTGAAAACAGAGTTGCAGTTTTCCGACTACTACTGTCTGCTTGCTGTTCACTTGCTCCTTGACATCTGGCTAGAGGCAGGTATGTCCTTACATGCTCCACTGCATGCATGCAAATAGAGATTTCAGCCCACAACTGTTCAAGCATTGGTTTGCAGCCGTATGAACAAAAAGCCAGTGTGGTTAGAGCAAGCTTCCTCAACCTTGGCCCTCCAGATGTTTTTGAGACTACAATTCCCATCATCCCTGACCACTGGTCCTGCTAGATAGGGATCATGGGAGTTGTAGGGCAAAAACATCTGGAGGGCCGAGGTTGAGGAAGCCTGAGTTAGAGTTTTGAACTAAAACCTGGGAGACCAGGCCCTGAAGCTCACTGTGTGTGACCTTTGGTACTTGCGCTTTTTCTGTGGCTGCTCCCAGATTGTGGGATTCCTTTCCTCGTGAAGTTAGGCTAAAGCCTTCCTATTCAAACAGGCCTTAGAAAATGAAGGTGCAGACATTTTTTTTTAACCACTGTTCTGCTGTTAGGGCAATCAATATTTTAATTCTGGTTCTAAATGTGTTGTACTGTTTCTAACTATTTTGTTTTTATTACTTTGTATTTTATAATGTTGTAAGCCGCCTTGAAAGGGACACGGGTGGCGCTGTGGGTTAAACCACAGAGCCTAGAACTTGCCGATTAGAAGGTTGGCGGTTCGAATCCCTGCGACGGGGTGAGCTCCCATTGCTCAGTCCCTGCTCCTGCCAACCTAGCAGTTCAAAAGCACGTCAAAGTGCAAGTAGATAAATAGGTACCGCTCCGGCGGGAAGGTAAATGGCGTTTCCGTGCACTGCTCTGGTTCGCCAGAAGCGGCTTAGTCCTGCTGGTCACATGACCTGGAAGCTGTAGGCCGGCTCCCTCGGCCAATAAAGCGAGATGAGCGCCGCAACCCCAGAGTCGGCCACGACTGGACCTAATGGTCAGGGGTCCCTTTACCTTTTTAAGCCGCCTTGAATCCCAGCTTGGGAGAAAGGCGGAATATAAACACATTAAATCATCATAATATTGTGGGGAGCAGTGGGATGTCCAGCATGGGACATGGCCGTGGCTCTTGGATCGTAGCAAAAGGAGGGCTTCTCATCCCTGCTTGGCCATCTTTCCTGCCCCTTTCTCTCGTTCAAGGCTTGAGTGTGGTGTTCTTTTCCCAGGTGAGGAGCCGGCTGCCTGGCACTGCTTGACTTTACTAGAAGAAGGGCTGGCTCACAGCCCCTCCAATGCTCAGTTCAAATTGTTGCTCATCCGGATCTACTGCATGCTTGGGGCGTTTGAACCAGTCGTGGAGCTTTACTCCAGCCTCGATGCCAAGCACATACAGCACGACACCATCGGGTGGGTAGTGTGGTGTTGGTGGTAATTGTGGTATCAAGCGATTGGCGGGTGGGAACCCTGTCCACCTGTCAAATTTGACCCTCTTCAGAGGTGCAGAGCAGCCCTCTCATGGTTACTGTTTTGGTTTTGTTTCTCTTACAGTTACTTGCTGACACGCTATGCCACAGCCTTCGGTCACTATGCTGCCGCATCACAATCCTGCAACTTTGCACTCAGGTTTTTCCACTCCAACCAGAAAGATGTAAGTGGCAAAGGGACCCCCAAATGTGTACCCCAGTTTCCCCTCAGAGAACACACGGAATCTCTCCAAAGGGTGTGTCTCTTGCATTTCTGCATGAGCAGGGAACGCATGCCCAGAACATTTTAGTGCTGCAGAGGCAGTGGGAGGGCTGCTCCCAAGGTCATACGTTTCTTGTGATGCAGAAAATCTGTAGCTCCTTGCTTAATTAATGCGGAGGCCATCCTGTGTTCCTTCTTAGACCTCAGAATACATTATTCAAGCCTATAAATATGGTGCATTTGAGAAGATCCCAGAATTCATTGCTTTCAGGAACAGACTAAACTCCTCGCTTCACTTTGCACAAGTCCGCACAGAACGGATGTTACTGGACCTCTTACTTGAAGCAAATATGTGAGTATGGAAGAGTTGATTTCTAATCTTCTGAGTGCTTATCCTGGGGGGCCCTCAGGCAGGTTGTGGGGTGGTAAAGCTGAGAGAGAGGTTAGCTTGGAGAAGCACTGCTTAGCTGTCTCAATTGAGGGACAGGTCCCAGTGGTACTGAAAGATCTCTCAATGAAGCAGAATTCGCTGTCTTCCACCCAAAGTGTTGCACAGTACTCAGATGTGAGAACCCTGGTGCTCTTGAGCTCAGCTGAAGAGTGGGAGTTGTTAGATCACTTTCTCAGGTTGAAAAATCCAGCTTTCCTGGGCATAAGATGAATTATTTTTTGCACAGAACATTGCATTATTTATAGCAGGGTCAGTCTGCTCAAGAGTGCATCATTGCACTGACTGAGTGCTAATGAATTCTGATCAAAATCCTCTTCAGTTCATCCGAAAAGCACCTGACCCAATACTTCTGTATTGCTTTTCATGAACTAGATCAGTGAGTTTGGAAGAAAGTATAAAGTCCATGAGCCTAAGTCCAGAAGAGGATGACATTCCCTGGAATGACCTGCGGGACAACCGAGACCTCACTGTCTTGTTTAATTGGGACCCAAAAGACAGGTAGGTAAACCTGCTGTGGTTGTCATTATCAGAAGGCTAAATTTCAGGAATTTGCCCACTAAATTGCAACCTAAAAACAGTTTGTCTTCCCTTTTATATTTATGCAAACAGTTATGTAACATTTAGCCAGCGCTTAAATGTGCTTTAACTCTGTCTGGTCCTTGGGAGTCCCCCAGGCCACATCCCTCACTGTCCCTTCTCCACGCACTCCTCAAGTGCTTTTGTCTGGCTGGAATGGGTCATTGAACCGTGATAATGCCTCTTGCTTGCTGGATGGACAGAACTTTTGCACATCTGGGATATAGCCTATTGTACAAAGCGTAGGAGCAGCATCCATTGCTTTGCCCACTTTTGGTTCTGGCCCTGCCCACATCTGGCTGGTGGCCATTGGAGGAGCTTTTCCACAAGGACGTCCAGTCTTCGGGTGACTAGAATCTTCCCCCCTACTGTATGGCCTCCCCAATAATCCCTACATTGGTAGATAACACTGTTTACCATTGCTTTTTTTCATATTTTTGTGTTTATAAAAATATTTATGTATTGTTGCAACTTTAAAATATATCACAGCACTTTAAGGTAAAGGTAAAGGTACCCCTGCCCGTACGGGCCAGTCTTGACAGACTCTAGGGTTGTGCGCCCATCTCACTCAAGAGGCCGGGGGCCAGCGCTGTCCGCAGACACTTCCGGGTCACGTGGCCAGCGTGACATCGCTGCTCTGGCGAGCCAGAGCCGCACACGGAAACGCAGTTTACCTTCCCACCAGTAAGCGGTCCCTATTTATCTACTTGCACCCGGGGTGCTTGCGAACTGCTAGGTTGGCAGGCGCTGGGACCAAGCGACAGGAGCGCACCCCACCGCGGGGATTCGAACCGCCGACCTTTCGATCGGCAAGTCCTAGGCGCTGAGGCTTTTACCCACAGCGCCACCCGCGTCCCTCACAGCACTTTATAACAACATAAAAATAGAAAACTATACAATAAAGTCATAAAAAGTTAAAAACAAGCTAAAAGCAAAGAGAAATTAAAACTAATAATCAACAGACCATTGTACTGCACAGGCTTGATTTCTTGTTGTTGTCAAATGAGCTTCACCAACTTGGGGAATGACCAAAGACATTCCTGCAGAAGAAGCTGGAATATAAGGTTTCAGGCAACACCTGAGGTATCCTGGACCCAAGTTGTTCAGGACTTTGTAAATCAATACAAAAACCTTGAACCCGGCTCGGTAGCAGATGGATAGCCAGGGCAGCTGTTTTAACAATAGTGTTACATGTTCTCAACCAGAAACTTCCATCAGCAATGTGGCTGCAGCATTCTGCAGCAGCTGGAGCTTCCAAACCACAGCAGCCCCACATAGAGCGCATTACAGTAATATAACACCAGGTGCAGGCGCTCCAGTCCTGCTCCAAGAGAGAAGGGTTTTCTGATGGTAGTAAGTGCACTTCTACACACTACAGCAACACTCCCCCACCACCCCTCCAGTCTGAATCGATGTTGCACCAGGGACCGGGGCAGGCACAACTGAGTCAAATCAGGTCCACCTAGATCTCGGTGATGCACACCAGTTCGGCTTGCCCATCCACAATCAGGTTGTGGCTCAGCATTGAGCTTGCAAATAGAGCAGGGAAGCTTGAGCTTGTACTTCTGTGTCTCAGTTCTTGGATACCCTCTCCCCTTCTCCCTCCTTCCTTTTTTCTCTCTCTCAGGGGCATTTCTGAAGAACACAAGGAACTCTCCTTGGAGGAAGAGACCATATGGTTGCAGATCCGATCTTTGATGTTGCGGCTCATAAGTGGCCTGCCAGCCCTTGGCCACAACGCCCAGCCAAAGAACTCCGAGAAAACCACAGAAAATGGCGTCTCCTCCAAGATCGACATGATAAGAGCTCTGCTGCGGAAGCTGGACGCTGCAGTGAAGTCCGGAAAGCAGTTCCTTGAGCAGAAAGTCCAGGTATAGCTAAGAGAAACCGATCCTGATTTCTTTAAAACAGTTTGTGATAATGCCAGGAGACATAAGAGTTGAGATTCTTCCGACGTGCCAGCATGGTGCTTTAATTGGAGAGCTAATTAGCTTATACCAGGAACCAACTCTGCTTTTCTCCTGTATTCAAAAGGTACACTATTTAATTTTCTTGCCCCCTTTTTTTCTTCCCGCCTAGTATCCGGTCCTTGGCCCCCCACCTTCCCGAATGGCTGGTTTCTTCAACAGTGGGAGCTGCCAGTGCCAGACCAGCTTATTTCACCTTGTTAGTGAAATTTATGAATTAGATACTATTGGGTTAGGTAAGTCTTGAAATTCCTGGGGCCAGCAGCCAATTTAGGTGTGTCTGCTGAAGCGGGAGGGAGGCGTACATGGGTGTGCTGCTCTTTCAGATCGGTTTGAAGATATTGGCCTCTTGCAAGCTGCTGTTGATGCCAAAGGCTTTTCTTGTGGAATTCTGAGCTTTTTTTTAAAAAAAAGAAAAAATCCTAGAGAAAATCCTGATGTTTAAGATTTGGAAAAACCCAATGAATCTCAGCTTGCCATCTGGTTTTGAGCCTTCTGACCATTTTCTTTGGAATTTTCTGCCTTGTCTCCATACAGTGGTACCTCTGGTTACATACGCTTCAGGTTACATACGCTTCAGGCTACAGACTCCGCTAACGCAGAAATAGTGCTTCAGGTTAAGAACTTTGCTTCAGGATAAGAACAGAAATCGGGCCCCAGTAGCTGAAGTGGTGCTTCAGGTTAAGAACAGTTTCAGGTTAAGTACGGACCTCCGGAACGAATTAAGTACTTAACCTGAGGTACCACTGTACTTTCGTTGACTCAGGTTAAAAATGAAAATTACAATCTGGCAAGACAGAAGTACGGAATGTGTGGCCCTCCAGATCTTGGAATCCAACTCCCATCTGCCTTGGCCAGCATGGCCAATGTTTTGAACTAATGGGAGTTGTAGTTCAGCAATATCTGGACAGCCACAGAGTGTCCATTCCCTACTGTATGGAAGAATGCCTCTAATTAAAGGAGGCAGTCTCTCCTGAGAGCAGACAAATGCTTTTTCTTAGATCAGAAATGGGATAAACACTGGCTCCTCCAGCTTCCATAGGCCCCAGCCACCACAGCCAATGGCCAGGAAAGATGGGAGTTCTTGTCCAGCTTCCCTGCAGTGAGCCTTGTGGTCCATACCGTGTGCCAGTCCTTGTTCTCCACGTTCTTCTTCTTGTTTGATTTCTTAACCGCCCTTCACTTAAGGTTCCAGGGTGACTTTCAGCCATTAAAAAAAGAGCATTAGAAGAGGTTTAAAACTAATTAAGATTCACAGGAATAGGGTGGGTCCCAGAAATATATTGAAGGATTTTTGTACTGTAAGGACTGCTTTGCTTAATTGTGACCAAAGATATGTTTCTGTTTTTCATTTTTGGGGTTGGATGTGACTTCAAGGGCCATCTAGTTCAACCCCCGTAGGGCAGCAAGTTTAAGTCTGGTTTTTTTTTATTTTATTGTGATAGTCTTTTTCTTCTCCAGCGGTTGCTTGTTTTCATTGTATTTTTTCTAAATCTGTCCCTTGATATAGATATATATATACAGTGGTGCCTCGCAAGACGAAAATAATCCGTTCCGTGAGTCTCTTCGTCTAGCGGTTTTTTCGTCTTGCGAAGCACCCCTATTAGCGGCTTAGTGGATTAGCGCTATTAGTGGTTTAGCGGCTTAGCGGCTATTAAAGGCTTAGCGGCTAAAAGGCTATTAGCGGCTTAGAAAAAGGGGGGGGGAGCGGAAAAAACCGCAAGACTCGCAAGACGTTTTCGTCTTGCGAAGCAAGCCCATAGGGAAAATCGTCTTGCGAAGCAACTCAAAAACGGAAAACCCTTTCGTCTAGCGGGTTTTTCGTCTTGCGAGTCATTCGTCTAGCGGGGCACCACTGTATACAGATAGATAATTTGACTATTTGCATAAGCCATTTGATAACTTTTCTTTATTTTCAGAAGATTCTGCAGCAATTCAAGAGAGAATAGGAAATAGCTTTAAATCATTACTAGAACAACTAACAGGTAAATCTGCTGAAAATCACATTACCAAAAGTTCTAGCCCACAAAAAATTTACTCTAGTCCATGCTTATCAGTTAAGCATATGCAATTAAAACTTCACTTTTCTTTGTATATGAGGGTATCACCAGGAGTAAATAAATTGGCTTGTTTTTTGTGGCTGACTTTCTGGAAAGATGGTTTCCATTCCATGCAGGCACTGCCAAAATAATGCACAGAGTAAAAATAAAACAAATAATTGGGGGGGGGCTAAAAACAAAGAAAAGATAATCCTTAAAAAGTAATTAAGCACCAGTCAAATTAAAACAATATTAATAAAGCTCAATATGTTGGATGGGGAAAGTTCTACCTTAGTTATAGAGTGCATGCTTTGCATGCAGATTGTGAAAGGGGAAGCCACAAAAAAGTATTTCCCAATATGCTGCCTTGTGTCAGACTTGATTTTTTTCTCTCACGAGTTTCACCTTGTTTCCTTCTTTTTTTAAAAAAAACAGATCAATTCAATAAATGTAAAGGTGATTTGTTGGAAGTCAGGGAAGGCAGGTTCCGAACCCATCCGAATATTTTAGAAAATCTGGTCTTCTTCGTGGAGGTGAGTAATGAGACCTTTGGAAAGCTGGTCCTGCCCCCCCCCCATTTGTCGGTTGCAAAAACCCATCAGTGCCCCTAAAGTGCCTGCGTGACAACTTCTTTTCTCACTCTTGCAGACCATCTCCATTGTTCTGTGGGTATGCAGTTATTCTGACGCCGTCCTCAGGCCCTACAGATCAAGCTTGCAAAAAAAGAAAAAGAAGAAAAAAGAGAGCGTTGTAGCAATGGTAGGAAATGCTGGTTTTTGGGACTGCTCCTGATCCACAGGCCACAATTTAAATGGACTGTTGATTCAGGACAGGCAAAACAAAGTACTGCTTCCATTCAATGCGCACAGGCAACCCATGATTTGTGTGGGGCTTGCGTTCCGGGTCATTGCGTGCTTCTGCGAAATCGTGTCTTAATTGAAAAAGCCTGCAAATGCTCCACCCAGCCCCTCTTCCACCCTTTTGGTTACATCTTTTATGACATTTCCGGGTCACATCTGGGTTTGGGTCTGTTCGCAGTCGCTCACATCTTGTTCACGCCCAGAACAGGGGTTTCCTGTAATGATTTAATGGAATTTGCTTAATAGAGGTGTGATGGTCTTAAGGAAAGATTACACTAAAACCACAGAGAATAGATCTCTTATCAGTTATAAGCTACGGTAGCTAATGGAAACTTCCATGTTTAGTTGTAGCAATGTTCAGAAACTCTCAGGTGCTAAGATCGTCAGGTAGGCGGGCCTTCTTGGTAGCTCCACCTCAGAGGTTTGAGGGGTGAGCACCCAGGAGACGGCATTCTTTGTAGCAGTCCTTACACACCTGAAACTTTCATTATGCGGCTTCCATTGCATTACTTTTTACCCTGGCCTTTTAACACCTGAGGTATATATTTTCAGGACCCACTCTTAACTAATTTGTTTAAAACTATTTTTTTAATTACTGTAACCTGCCTTTTGATTTTATGGTGAGGGACAGGTGAGAAATTGGATTAATAATAGCAGCAACAACAATAATAATAATATACTTTTGATTTGTACTCGATATGCCGCTAAGGTAAAAAAGTAAGGTAAAGGACCCCTGGATGGTTAAGTCCAGTCAAAGGCAATTACGGGGTGCGACACTCATCTCACTCTTCAGTTTGTCCACACAGCTTCCTGGGTCATGTCACCAGCATGACTAAATCACTTCTGGCACCTGGTGGACCATGATAAGTGATAAGAGCACACAGAAATGCTGTTTACCTTCCCGCTGCAGTGGTACCTATTTATCTACTTGCACTGGTATGCTTTCAAACTGCTGGGTTGGCAGAAGCTGGGACAGGACAACAGGAGCTGACCCCATTGCACAGATTCGAACCGCCGACCTTCCGATCGGCAAGCTCAAGAGGCTCAGCGCCACCCGCGTCCCTACATTATGCTGCTAAACATATCTATTAAAAAGCACTGCCTCCAAAATAAAAACCTATGATATACTTCTATGGAGAACATTGGACAGAGAATTGGTGGGTCAGGGTGCAACAGCTTTTATTTTTCTCTCTGCAGCCCCCTGTGTTCACCAGCTTTCAGGATTACATTTCCGGTCTCCAGACTCTCATTTCCAATGTGATAGATCATATCAAAGGGCTGGAAATCAATCTAGCTGCGCTTAAACTTGAAGAACTCTCCATAGAGGACAATTTACTGTCGCAGGTAAGAAACTGTTGCTTATACATTGAGGTTCTATGATTTGAGATGACTCAGGATTAAAACAAACCGCTGTTTAGCGTTAGGTGCAATTGTACTTTGAGACATTTTTAAAGGTAATTAAAGTGTTTAATTACACTTTGTGTAATTTGTGGGCTCAGTTTTATGGAACTCCCTTCCAGTAGAGGTCAGACAGGTTCTTTCCATATTGAACTTCTGTGCCTACTGAATAATTTTTTATTCCAGCAGGCGTTTTAGGTGTAGTTTGATTCAATAGTTTTAACTGATTTTCATTTTTGTATTGTATCTTCGTAAACCACTTCAACCATTATAGTTAAGTGGTATATAAATTGCTTACATAACAACACACACAGATGATTTATTTATCTGTGTAAAAAAATGTTTCTTCCCAGGAAGAAAAGAAGTTTACAAAGACTGTGCTGAGGAAAGTCCAGAACAGTTACCAACATGCGATACAGGAAATGGGAGAACTGCTGAAAAAGAGACTTGATACCATCAAAACTCTAAAGGTTTAAGGAAGTGTGTCCTGGGTGCCAAGGGTCAAGATTGAAATGCCGACAACAGACAAGAAACAGCATTTGCCACCATCCCTTCAACGTTAAAAATCTGGAACTTCCTCATAAATGCATGAAGGACTTTTGATCGTAAAAATAGTTTTTTTTTATGTATTAAAAAGATATATTCAAGCTGATTAAATTATTGTACATAAAAACCAGAAGCAGGGACCCTTGTCCGTCAGGGTTAGACCACTTTTTTATACATGTTCATAAGCATATTGTAACAGAGGCAAAAACCCCTAACCTGTTTCACTTCCCTTTGTGGGGAGAGGGGGGCATTCTCCAGAAGCTCTCTGGGGGCTTGAAGTCTTTAGAAGCAGCAATAGAAATCCAGTGTAAAGCATATTTCAAAGGAGTTTGTATTTTTTCCATCACACAATGCAGCATTTATAGTTTTGTGTGCAAGTTTCTTGCCTTAGAAAAGCAGAAGTTCAGAGAGCCCAGTGCTCCACTGTGTAACTTCTTGGGTGTTCTTTCTTTCTCCCCGTCCAACACCCCCCCCCCTTGAGAACAGTTGTATGACTGCTTCATGAACTAATTGGGCCAGGACAGGTGACTTTCTCCCCCACCCACCCCCCACTCCAGAACAGTTATTTTTATTCACACCAACAACCTAACAACTGAAGGCACTGCCTGAGTGAGTTGCAACCTGTGTGCCCTTGTGTGTCTTGCTTTCCAGTCCTGCAAGGAAAAACAAAACAAAATCAAAAAAGTTGGTATCTGCTTAAGTTTGTTCCAAGGTGAAATAATGACAAAAGAAACATATAAACTTGATTGAAAACTCAACTTTGGCTGCAGCTCAGTGCAAATGGAACTGTTGGCTAACGGCTGAAGGTGTGTATATGTAATCTGTTCCATAAACTCAACACACCTATCTTCCTTTGTGTAAAAGATGAATTGCTGAGGTGGTGTCTGTGCCCTTGGATGCTTCATATTAGGTGTATGGCTGTATTTCAAGCAAGTTTATGTGGTGAGGAACAGGATGCATGGTCTGAGTTGTGCTTCCTGTTATTCGTAAATCTCTTAAGATTGATCCTGGGCATCGTTAGGGAATGTGCATTAGATAAATTTTGGATGAGACTCTAGAAAATCAATTTCAAATCCTGTTCATTCCCACCATTCCAAACCTTTCATCATATCTAAAACACTTTTGGTGAACATTTGTGTAGGTTCCTCTTGGATTATGGAGTGTTTTATTAAATGCATGGAAATCATCATCTGGCCAAAAGAAATGGCTTTCGATAAAGTATGTTGATCTTCCTTTGCAACCAAATACAAGCAAGTGTAGCAGACTTGATTATCCAGGCACCACCTTGAATATCCCTCCTCCCACTCCTTGTTATTTTGTTCATCATGTTGCATGGCACAGGCAGTCCTTGTTTTGTTTGGGGGTACCGTTCCATAAGCCCAGCCCATCCAGCCCCTTGTCATGGCATCTTTATGACATTTTGGGGCTACTTACGGGTTCAGCGATGTGCGCTTGGGCACCATCATGCATCATTCAGACGCGCCTAAACTCGGAGTTGCCTCTACCACTAAACTTTTTTTCTACCAAATTACAGCTGTTTCAGAATCAATGGGTACTGAAAATAGGTAATTTTTTTGGCAACAAAGACTTCAGGCTTTGGCAGATACCTGGCTAAAGGAAAAACGATAACAAGTTTTAAATTTTTGAAAGAGCTGGTAGTCTTGGGGGATGGCACATCATTTTCCCTAGAAACAAGTGGTGAGACGTTTCTCTTGTGGCCAGTCCACTACGGATTCCTTATGCAGAATTCTAGGCCCTGTGAACTTTTGTGATTAGCCTATTTCTGCTATTAATTAGGAGGGATCTGAAGACCTTGACCGTAAAATTTTCAGGTGTACTTTTAGGAATGATCCGCACGGCTTTTATTTCGCCAGTTGTGTTGATGTGTTAGTACATTCTAGCCACTTCAGCCTCCTTAATCACCATTTTGCACAGCTGAGGGGGACCAGTAGATTTTCTGTGGCCATCTTGACATTCCCAGAAGTACCTGCTTCTTCCAGGAACAATTCTCACATAGATATGTTTTCTGTCCAGAAACCCCAGCATCATTCTTAGACACCAGACAAGAAATCAGTCTTTATTTATTTTAATCTGGAACTGTTCTTCACTCCAGCTACACATGCAATTTTTAGTGACATACTGAAGTCTAGATTTGCCAGTAGGATCCATTGGAGAATGAAGGCCTTCGGTGCTTGCTTTTGGAAATGAGGCTTTTTTTTAAAAAAAAAAAAAACCAGTTACAGCAAGAATCAAATAAGGTTCCAGAGACATTTCACTGGCAGCTCCTAAAAGGAGTCCACCTGCATCAGACACCTTGATTCCAGGTGTTCCCTTTTGTTGGCAGTGCTAGAGGTCACTAAAGACATAAGCAAAAGTAAACCTTTTAAGTCCCCCCCACACATACACTCCTTTCTCCATACAGAGCAAAAGTAGGGGACAGAACTCTGTTAGGCAATGGGGATAACCAAGAAGTATCTCAAAATGGTATGGGTGGTGAATTCTGTTTGCCAAGTTGTGAATGCCTTCAGTTAAGACAATTGTGCTCTTGTGTAACTTGCCTGTTGTGGTGCTGCTTTGTGGCAACATCTTCCTTCTGTGTTGGGCCTGGAACCAATTTCTCCTGAAATCCAGGTGGGGCGGGCGTGTCCATGTGAGTAGCAGCATTGCCCTTTAAAAGAAATGGAAAATCCTACACGTTTGAATTTTTTTTCTGAAGCAGCTGTTTGCAAAGCTCTCAGGATCCAATCGAGGAAATACATGCCTGCTCCTTATGATCAAAATACTCCATTACATAGGAGTTTGTTTGGGGTTTTTCTCTGACAACTACATATGTATCGGGGGCAGCATCGGATTCCAGCACAATAATCATTTGGGTCCACTACAGGGAGAGAATTTGGCAGAAAAGTTAAATTGTAAGTTTCTGGAGAAACTGATCGTTGTCAACAAAACTCAAGTTCTTAATTAACCAAATGTTTTCGTACCTTCTGCAACGACACACATACACACACACAAACCTCCCTTTCTGAATTTGTGAAATAATGTACCGCTGTTGTTTTATCTCATTTTCATGAACTTAAACATGTATAAAAAGAGAGCTACAGACTACTTTTATGCAGTGCTGGGATCATGAGCCAAAATGGTTCTGCAGCTGCTTCCAGCAACCAATTTCTAAAGTTAAAATATTTCATTGCTGTAATCCAGTTACGTTCTCCTCTCTCTCAAGAAAACGACATCAGCCACCTGTATTGCCCATTTAGCTGGAAGGGTGTGTGTATACTTTTAGTAATTTTTAACTTGTTTGAAATTGCATTTATATTTTGCAATTGTTATGTTGAATCATGGAGGAGGGTTTGTCTCTTACTTTGATCTATAAAGGGGATTTCTGTTATATGCAAGATAGCTTGGAACTTTTTATTCCTTGACTTGTTCTCTGTAATTTATGACTTTGGAAGGTCTGTAAAACACTTAAGCAGCTGACAGAATTTTAAGTGACAAAACTGCTAGCAATCTGCTTTAAACTGGATGGATTTATAATTTATATATATATAAATATATATATAAAGGTCAGTTTCTTTATAAACAAGTTTTTTTCTGCCTTTTTCTTTAAGGGTGTGGGAATATTATTATTTTGCAAAAGTATGAAAGATTTCAAGACTCCCAGCCCTGTTTTTTTTAATGGTTAGCTACAAAAGAGGCAGATTTGGCCCAGAAAGTTTCAGAGAAAATTATTACTTATTAAATTTATATCCCACCCTTCCTCTCAAAGGAGCACTATGCTCTTTATTTACCTTTGTTTCCCATATTATATTTTAAATTGCAGAGGGACGCGGGTGGCACAGCGGTTTTAATTTAATTTTAAATTGTAACGTGCTGGGGTCTCATCGGGGAGAGTGGCTTAGGAAATAGCGGTGATTTTCACTTCAGTTTCACTTGGAATCAGTTTGCACCCACTCGACCAAGGGCTTTGGCAGTAAAAGACAATTCACCTTCAGCATTCTTTCCCCCTATAGTTTTTCTAAATCAGATATTTTGGGGGAGCACTGTTGTTTTTAATTCAAACTGGATTTGGGTGGCCAGGTATAAGGCAGGATCACATTTATTGACTCCCTGCCCGTTCCCCTCCTGCAGAGCATGAGATTGGCAGCAGCTTGCCCTAAAGCCTTTTTTCTTTGCCTCTCCTTGCCTTCCTGCCAATTTTCAAATGGTAAGCAGAGCAGCTTTCTCTGTTCTCCAGCAAACAAGGGATGCTCCCGGCCTAGACCCCTTTATTTTTTCTGCCTTGGGTGCCTGGCTGCACCACCGGGGTCTGGGATCAGGGCCGGATTTAGGTTTAGACACTGAGGTCCAGTGCTGAGGGCCTTCTGGCGGTTCCCTCGCTGCGAGAAGCCAAGTTACAGGGAACCAGGCAGAGGGCCTTCTGGGTAGTGGCACCCGCCCTGTGGAACGCCCTCCCACCAGATGTCATAGAGAAAAATAACTACCAAACTTGTAGAAGACATCTGAAGGCAGCCCTGTTTAGGGAAGCTTTTAATGTTTAATAGGTTATTGTATTTTAGTGTTTTGTTGGAAGCCGCCCAGAGTGGCTGGGGAAACCCAGCCAGATGGGTGGGGTATAAATAAATTATTATTATTACAGTGGTACCTCGCAAGATGAAATTAATTCGTTCCGCGAGTTTTTTCTTCTTGCGAGTTTTTTGTCTCGCGAAGCACGGTTTCCCATAGGAATGCATTGAAAATCAATCAATGCGTTCCTATGGAAACCGCCTTCAGACCAGGTCCGTGGACAGTCTGTCCCCCAACCTCTTCTGAAGGCTGGGGGGGGGGACAAGGGCTTTTCTTCCCACCGCCAGCCTTCAGAAGGCTGTTCTGAAGGCTGGCGGTGGGAAGAAAAGCCCTTCTCCCCACCTCCCGCCCCGCAAGCTCCGGGGACAGGAGGGCTTCTCTGCCGCCCGCCAGCATTTTAAGATCGCCCCAGGACAGCGGAGAAGTCTCCGCTGTCCCGGGAAGGCAGGCGGGGGGGGGAGCAAAGACTTTTGCCCCCCGCCAGCCTTCAGAAGAGGTCCAGGACCTCTTATGAAGGCCGGCGGTGGGCGAAAGTCTTTGCTCCCGACCGCCAACATTTTAAAAGAGGTCCCCGGAGATTTCCCTATGGGCTTTCTTCTTGCAAAGCAAGCCTATAGCGAAATTCGTCTGGCGAAGCACCTCGAAAAATGGAAAACTCTTTCTTCTTGCGAGTTTTCCGTCTTGCGAGGCATTCGTCTTGCGAGGTACCACTGTATTAATTATTGATGAGGCCCTAAGCAACTGAAGGTAATGGGGCCCTTTAGATGTCCAGCTGTCCTTTGCCAACAACAAATTGTCACTGTTTTTTGTCTTGAATATATGCTATATGGTCATTTATGGACCTAATAGGTATCTAAAGCCTTCTGAACGTAAATATGTATTTTATCAAAGTAATTGTTGAACTGAAATACAATTAAGAAGTATATTAATAGTGAAATACAATTAAGAAGAAGTATATTAATAGTGAAATAATTATTAAGCTCTTAACTTAAAATGATTGGGGGCCCATTACTTACATCATAGGAGCCGACACATCACAAAACACTTGTTGCTGTATGTAGGTTTTTGTTTTGTATCTTACATTTTGGAAATGTACACCCAGTTTTTTTCCCCTTTAAATTTTTTGGGAGCCCCCAAAAGAGTGTGGCCTTAAGCTATAGCTTGTTTATCTTATACATGTCTGCGATACAGAGCTGGGCTTGCTTTTATTGCAATGCAATGACAAGGGGGAAAGGCACTCTGCCATAGCTGTCAACGTTTCCCTTTTTTTAAGGGAAATTCCCTGATTCCAAATAGGATTCCTCGCAAGAAAAGGGAAAAGCTGATAGCTATGCACTCTGTGTGAAAAAGTGAGGAGGAATTAAAGAACCTTTTAATGAAGGTGAAAGAGGAGAGCGCAAAATATGGTCTGAAGCTCAACATCAAAAAAACAAAGATCATGACCACTATGAATCACCTCCTGGCAAATAGAAGGGGAAGAAATGGAGGCAGTGAGAGATTTTACTTTTTTGGGCTCCATGATCACTGCAGATGGTGACAGCAGTCACGAAATTAAAAGATGCCTGCTTCTTGGGAGAAAAGCAATGACAAACCTAGACAGCATCTTAAAAAGCAGAGACATCACCTTGCCAACAAAAGTCCATATAGTTAAAGCTATGGTTTTCCCAGTAGTGATTAATGGAAGTGAGAGCTGGACCATAAAGGCTGATCTCCGTAGAATGGATGCTTTTGAATTATGGTGCTGGAGGAGACTCTTGAGAGTCCCATGGACTGCAAGAAGATCAAACCTCTCCATTCTGAAGGAAAATCAGCCCTGAGTGCTCACTGGAAGGACAGATTGTGAAGCTGAGGCTCCAGTACTTTGGCCACCTCATGAGAAGAGAAGACTCCCTGGAAAAGACCCTGGTGTTGGGAAAAATGGAGGGCACAAAGAGAAGGGGACGGCAGAGGACGAGATGGTTGGACAGTGTTCTCGAAGCTACCAGCATGAGTTTGACCAAACTGCGGGAGGCAGTGGAAGACAGGAGTGCCTGGCGTGCTCTGGTCCATGGGGTCACAAAGAGGCGGACACGACTAAACGACTAAACAACATGCACTCTGCACATGCTGCTTGAACCTTCCGTTGCAAGCGTGGGCCTTCCTTGCCGCAAAACAGGAGACGGGAGAGAAGGCATGAGCAAAGCAGCATGGGGCGCCGGGGCTGGATCCTGGGGCAAAGGAAAGCCGTACCTCCCTGCAACATAGTCAAGATAAAGGGCCGACTCTGGGGTTGCGGCGCTCATCTTGCTTTATTGGCTGAGGGAGCCGGCGTACAGCTTCCGTGTCATGTGGCCAGCATGACTAAGCCGCTTCTGGTGAACCAGAGCAGCGCACGGAAACACCGTTTACCTTCCCGCCGGAGTGGTACCTATTTATCTACTTGCACTTTGACGTGCTTTCGAACTGCTAGGTTGGCAGGAGCAGGGAACTGAGCAACGGGAGCTCACCCCGTTGCAGGGATTTGAACCTCCGACCTTCTGATCGGCAAGTCCTAGGCTCTGTGGTTTAACCCACAGCGCCACCCGCTTCCCTTCTCTGCAACACCCCCCCCCTCAAAAAAAAGGAACCCCGCACGCACGCCCCGCCCCCCTTAAATGAGGCGGCCCTTTGAAGTGCCTGGGAGGGAATCCAGCCTTTGGTCACGTGGCCATGCCCCGCAAAGCCCCTCCCTCCCTGTAGAAGCTTCCACATTCGCCCAGCAATGCACCGGGTCGCCATGGCTATGGGGATCCCTCGGCGGAGCGCCCTGCTGCTCCTGTCGCTGCTGCTCTGCTTGGCCCTGGAGAGCAGCTGCGCTTTGCACACCAAGGGCGCACTGCCCCTCGACGCCATCACCTTCTACAAGGTAGAGCAAATTGCCTTTTATTTCGTTTTCTTAAGGGGGGGGGGATGATGCTGGAAACCACACTTGCATGCTTTTTGGGGGAGGAGGAAGGAGGGGGGGGGAATTTCTGCTCCGATTCCTCCCTCCTCCGGGCGGACGTAGGGGCATCTCTCTCAAATCATGCCCAAAATTGCAAATTGCATTTGCAAAGCGTTGCGCGCCCGGTTTGCTTCTTGGGTAAAGCGATTTGCCCATCGCGCCTGCTCTCTGCTTGGGATGGCGCGCCTGAAAAGGGATCAGCTGCGCAACACGCCCCCTCCCCATATTACTGGGTGGCAGAGGGCATATTCCAACTGGATTATGGGGGGTGGGGAGGGGGCGCGCCCGTTGGCATGAAGCAGGAAAGAAGGGGAGGGGGTGTTGGAGAGGACAAAGGCGACCTGGAAGCAGGCTACGTGCAGCCATACTAACGAGAATCCCCGCGCATACAGTATTTGCCTTAGGTTTTTATTTATTTTTATTTTATTGCTGTTAGATCCCCCTTTTCATCCAGGGAACGCTCAAGGTGGCATGGATAGTTCCCCTCCCCCTTTTATCCCCAAAATAACCCTGAGAGGTAGGTTAGGCAGAGAGTGAGAAACTGGCCCAAGGTCACCCAGTGAGCTTCAGGGCTGAGTGGAGGATTTGAACCCAGGTCTGCTTTTTACACACACTAGCTTGGCATCACATTTTCAGGACACAAAAGGCCTCTGAACACAACATAAATCTCACCCTGAATTATTTTAGCCCCGCTGCCTTAAATTATGTTATCCGATCATACAGAATCATGCATGTTGATAGCAATAGACTGCAATATTGATTCAATGGATTGGATTAAATTAAAAATAGAGCCTTTATACCACTGTTACTATTGATATTCCTTTAGTATCCTGTGTTTTTGTGGGGGGGGGCGGAAGGAGTGCTTGTGCCTGTTTTCTTAGAACTAACCTCCGCTGTCTTCAGTGGAATTTACTCCTGTGTAACTCCACAAGTATTGCAAGTGGGGCGTTTCACTCCCACTTCTTTCTCTGCCCTTAGTTTCTGATATGCAGCCTGCAGTTTAATTGCAAAATTTGTCTCCTTGCTCCACCCAGGCGAGGGAAGTGGCTTCAGACAGTCACCAATCATGGATGCCAAGGGCAGTGCAAACTTGCTTTACTTTCCAGGGTGAGGAGGGGCACGATTCCTGAATCGGCACCAAGGATTTCTCCCCTGAGCAAAATGAAGTGAGAGTACCCCTGAGAATATGCAGAGGGCTCATTTCTAAGCAAGCATATGGAAGGATCAGTCCTGGAGTGGTGGGTGGAAAATGGGTTCAAGACAAATTAAGAGTCCCAGCGACTCATTTTGAATACACACACACACACACACACAACACACACCCTCCCCATTGTATATTCCTAGCCTCAGAGGTGTACTTCCTCTTGATATGGAGAATTTATTTTCCTGTAATATATAATACGCGGGACGCATATTATAGTATATAATATATAGGGACACGGGTGGCGCTGTGGGTTAAACCACAGAGCCTAGGACTTGCTGATCAGAAGGTCGGTGGTTTGAATCCCCGCAACGGGGTGAGCTCCTGTTGCTCAGTCCCTGCTCCTGCCAACCTAGCAGTTCAAAAGCACGTCAAAGTGCAAGTAGATAAATAGGTGCCACTCCGGCGTCTGGTTCGCCAGAAGCAGCTTAGTCATGCTGGCCACATGACCCAGAAGCTGTACACCAGCTCCCTCGGCCAATAAAACAAGATGAGCACCGCAACCCCAGAGTCGTCCACGACTGGACCTAATGGTCAGGGGTCCCTTTACCTTTAATATATAATAAGCCAGCAGTAGACCTCGTCTTCCAGCAAAACGTTAAGAACATACAAAGACCCTGCAGGATCAGGTTAATGGCTCATCTAGTCCGTCATCCTGTTCTTGCAGTGGCCAACCAGGTGTCTGTGGGAAACCTGCAAGGAGCTTCTGACCACAAGAACTATCTTCTTTTCTGTGGTTTCCAGAAGCTGGTTGTCAGAAGCATTGCTGCCTCCAATTGTGGAGCCCAGAGCATAGGCAGTTGGCTAGTAGAAGCCATCAGTAGCCCTCTCTTCCATTCAGGTATCTAAAGAAGTGTGCATGCACACGAAAGCTTATACCCTAACAAACTTAAATAAAGAAATAATAATCTTTTATTTATACACCACCCTTCCCAGTTTAGAAAACCGGGCTCAGGGCGGCTAACAACAAACTTAAAACACTTAATTGATGCAAAAAAGAAAAAAGAGAAGCATAAAATACAGTATAAAACGTGAATAACAATAAATTCAGAATTCAAAAATCAATTTAGGGAGGGAAATCCATCCAATAAACATTAGATGATCACCAGGGCTAGCTGGCTAAATTAGTCCTATTTGGGCCAGCGAGGAGACCAGTGGAGAATTAGCTGTGGGATCCCAGAGCGGGTAATCTCATAAAAGGGGAGGGGGAGGGAAGGAAGGCGAATAAAAGATCAGACTAAGTTCAAATTGAAAGCCAGGCGGAATAGCTCTGTCTTAAACTTAGTTGGTCTCTAAGGTGCTACTGGACAATTTTTTAATTTATTCCTCTCTTCCATTAATTTGTCTAATCGTCGAATCATATAATTGTAGAAGGAACCCAGGAATATACACCTGTCCCATGCGGGGATCAAACCTGCAACCTTATCAGCACCACACTCTGACCAACTGAGCTACAAACCCCCCCTGCCCTAAATTACATTTCCGAAAAGAAGTAAGAGGTGGGGAGGTAACCAGAAATGGATTTTTGTGTGTGGAAGGACTGTGAGGTCCATTCAGTTCTACCACTCAAAATAAATTCCCGGGCTCATAATTCTGTATGAAAGATCTTTTGCTCCCAGCTCTACTCATTGGGTCTCCTGGGAGTCTAGTTAAAAACAAAGCAGATCCCATGAGCATAGCATCTGTGTACCCCTGCTAGATCATATATGTTAGATTATATGTAGCGGTATTATTGCACCTGTGCTTGACTGGAATTTCAACCAGCTTAAAGAGCTTATTATTATTATTATTATTATTATTATTATTATTATTTATTATTTGTACCCCGCCCATCTGGCTGGCTTTCCCCAGCCACTCTGGGCGGCTTCTATAGAAACCAAAAATACACTAAGATATCACAGATTAAAAACTTCCCTGAACAGGGCTGCCTTAAGATGTCTACTGAATGTCAGGTAGTTATTTATCGCTTTGACATCTGATGGGAGGGCGTTCCACAGGGCGGGCGCCACTACCGAGAAGGCCCTCGGCGCTGGACCTCAGCGTCCGGGCAGAATGATGGGGGTGGAGACGCTCCTTCAGGTATACTGGGCCGAGGCCATTTAGGGCTTTAAAGGTCAACACCAGCACTTTGAATTGTGCTCGGAAACGTACTGGGAGCCAATGTAGGTCTTTCAAGACCGGTGTTATGTGGTCTCGGCGGCCGCCCCCAGTCACCAGTCTAGCTGCCGCATTCTGGATTAGTTGTGGTTTCCGAGTCACCTTCAAAGGTAGCCCCACATAGAGCGCATTGCAGTAGTCCAAGCGGGAGATAACTAGAGCATGCACCACTCTGGCGAGACAGTCCGTGGGCAGGTAGGGTCTCAGCCTGCGTACCAGATGGAGAGGAATTATGCTGAGGAATTGAATGGAAGTGCTAGGGTGCAACAACTTGATAATTTTTGGAAAAGAACTTAGGATTCCTATCTTGCTAGCTGCATTTCCAGAGTACGTTTGCGTGTAGTCATAGCCGCTCAAATTTTATTAGCCTACTGTTAACATGAAGCACTTCTGCAGCAAAGTCCAGGCATTTTGCACTTATTACCTTGCTAAGTCAAAATTAAGCAAGGCTGCCTCAGAGGCGTGGGAACTAGAGCGTCTCTGCCTAAAGCCTGGGAACTGTGCAACTCCAGACAAGTCACATCCTGCACTTTTGTGCCCTGCAGCAGTTCTGTCCGATAAGTGGGGTGCAGCAAGAAACGCCACCTCCGTGCATTTAAAAAATATTTAAATTACTAAATTTTATTAAATTTTTAATAACCAAGAACAAACATCATATTTCCCTTTGCCCTTTTTTTGTTAAATGGGACTATCCCTGGAGAATAGCCTGTTTTACCCTCCTGTAAAATGAGCTCAGTGACATCCAACTCTGCAGATTCACATGAGGATTGCACCTTAGAATAGCTTTTTAAGTGAGATGCTTGGCAGGTAGAAGGGCCATGCTCAGCGGTGGGGCAGCTGCCTTGCATGCAAAAGGCTCCCTGGCCTGGCGAGGTGGACTAATGGCATGGCTCAGTGCATTATTGGAAATGTGGCATATATGCTATTGTTGTTGTTGTTTAGTCGTTTAGTCGTGTCCGACTCTTCGTGACCCCCTGGACCAGAGCACGCCAGGCACTCCTGTCTTCCACTGCCTCCCGCAGTTTGGTCAAACTCATGCTGGTAGCTTCGAGAACACTGTCCAACCATCTCCTCCTCTGTCGTCCCCTTCTCCTTGTGCCCTCCATCTTTCCCAACATCAGGGTCTTTTCCAGGGAGTCTTCTCTTCTCATGAGGTGGCCAAAGTCTTGGAGCCTCAGCTTCAGGATCTGTCCTTCCAGGGAGCACTCAGGGCTGATTTCCTTAAGAATGGAGAGGTTTGATCTTCTTGCAGTCCATGGGACTCTAAGAGTCTCCCCCAGCACCATAATTCCAAAGCATCAATTCTTCGGCAGTCAGCCTATTAGTACAGTATATAAAGCCGGTAGCTACTGGGGACCAGTTTACCTGTGAGATTGCCTTACAGCATAAACACCCACTCAACTACTTTGGCATACGGAATTGACACAGATGCCGCATAATACCTGTATCTGCATTTGTAAGAAATCAGTCTTTTAGTATGATAGTCAGCAGCCTAAAACTGCTGCCTGTTGACATCAGACGGGTGCCTTCACTGTCCTCTTTTTGGTGCCTGCTGGAAACCTGAAGGAGAGTCTCTATCCCCATCATTGAGCCCGGACACTGGCGGTTCCTTCCCTGCGAGAAGTGAGGTTACAGGGAACCCGGCAGAGGGCCTTCTCAGCAGTGGCACCCGCCCTCCCGTCATGTCAAGGAAATAACTATCTGACTTTTAGAAGACATCTGAAGGCAGCCCTGTTTAAGGAAGCTTTTAACATTTTATGTTTTATTGTGTTTTTAATATTCTGTTGGGAGCCGCCCAGAGTAGCTGGGGAAACCCAGCCAGATGGATGGGGTATAAATAAATAAATAAATAAATAATAATAATAATAATAATAATAATAATAATAATAATTTAGGCAAACACACCCACCAATGTAGAATGTTGACGTGTTTTAATCTGTTTTTCGCTTATCGTCAATTTTGAAATTTCGAATGTTTTAAACAGCTGCTTTTAACTGTTTTCGATGATAACACAGAATCCTATTGGCTGAAGATATTTTAAGACTGAATTAATTTGTATTTGCAAATTTATATAAGATTACTGATTACTTACACAAGATTGTCTTTTTTCTTTTGTTTTTTGTTTATTTAAGATTGTTTTTTCTATGAATTTAAATAAAGTATGGCTTTAAAAAAATATTTTAGGATCTAGTGTCGATTGACTAAAATATTTCTGGAGGTCTAGGAACTTAGCTAGAGTTGGGGGTCAGCACTGGTGTTTGAGAAGGAGCAACACAGTGCCTCTCTCTTTTTAAGCGCATGCTGAATTCCAAAGGACCATTCCCAGTCCCCAGCAATAACCAATGGTCAAGGATGATGGGACTTACTGCCCAGTCATTATTGAGGGAGACAGGCAGGGTGGGGACAAGTTCCTTATCCCAGCTGTAAAGGTTGTGTGACCACTGACAGCTTCAGGTTAGATGTTCAGTAGTCAGAATGCCCCAGGTGTTTTGCAAGTGACTTTGGAAACCAGATCGCTTCCAGACACCGCACATTCAGAGCTTTTGTGGTGCTTTCCTTTTAGGTGATCCCGAAGCACAAGTTTGTGCTGGTGAAATTTGACACCCAGTATCCTTACGGAGAGAAGCAGGATGAGTTCAAAAAGGTGGCCGAAAGCTCAGAATCCAGTGACGATTTGTTGGTGGCCGAGGTGGGGATATCAGGTGAGAGGCTTATGGCGGACTTGTGCACAGATTATGAGGTCTATTAATTTATCTTTTACTTCTTTTCTTTTTTAAAATGGATGCCAGATTAACTCTTGTATCTGTGCAACTGTGCAAACACCAGTAAAGGAGGCAGGGCCTTTTGCTTAGGATAAGCTGATCAGAATGATGCCTTTCCTCCTGAATCTCTGCAAACATCTTTTCCTCCTGGCTAATGCAACATACTGAGTTTAAAGGTAAAGGTAAAGGTACCCCTGCCCGTACGGGCCAGTCGTGTCCGACTCTAGGGTTGTGCGCTCATCTCACTCAAGAGGCCGGGGGCCAGCGCTGTCCGGAGACACTTCCGGGTCACGTGGCCAGCGTGACAAAGCTGCATCTGGCGAGCCAGCGCAGCACACGGAAACGCCGTTTACCTTCCCGCTGGTAAGCAGTCCCTATTTATCTACTTGCACCCGGAGGTGCTTTCGAACTGCTAGGTTGGCAGGCGCTGGGACCGAGCGATGGGAGCGCACCCCGCCACGGGGATTCGAACCGCCGACCTTTCGATCAGCAACCCTAGGCGCTGAGGCTTTTACCCACAGCGCCACCCATGTCCTCTATACTGAGTTTAGCAGAGCTTTAATTGTATTAACTGGTTGACGTTGCTGAATATTGTGTGTGTGAGAGAGAGAGGGAGAGAGATGGTCTTGTGGATTATTAAGAAATGGGGAGTAAACTCACTGTCTGACTAAGATATTGAATTTTTTGTTTTTAGGGGTTAGGGAAAGAATTTGTGTTAAAGATGCTTAGAGGGAGGCAGAACAGACAGGCATGGCTTTAATTTCCTCTTTCCCCCTGCCATTGCCCAGTCTGCAGGAGAAATTTTTCCTAAGTTCCCCACTCCCATGCAAATTCCATGCAAATTTTGATTTGAGGAGCAGGGAAACCATGTGTGAGAGAGCTAGTCATTACTGATTTTTATGTTATATGGGTGGAGTGAGAAAAGGTGCTACACACAGCCAGAAACACAGTGCTTACCGTATTTTTCGCTCCATAAGATGCACCTGACCATAAGACGCACCTAGTTTTTAGAGGGGGAGTGCAAGAAAAAAAAATTTTTTTTAAAGGGAGCGCTGAGCAGAGCCTGTATGCATCCCAGGCTCTGCTCAGCGCTCCCTTTCACGAGCTGTGCCTAGTGTGTGTGGGGCGCTTGCAGGCTTTTCCCCAGGAGGGAGAAGGGCAGCTCCGCGCAGCTCGTGAAAGGGAGCGTGGCTCTTGGGGGCTTTTGTGGGAGGTGGGGGAAGGGACTGAGGGGCTGCCCTCTGTCCCTTCCCCCACCTCCCACAAAAGCCAGCAAGAGCCGTGCGCTCTTTAAAGGGAGCACGGCTCTTGCGGGCTTTTCTACGAGGTGGGAGAATTCCCCCACCTCTTGCAAAAGCCAGCAAGAGCCCTTCTCCATCCTTAAGGAAAAGCCCGCAAGAGCCGCACACACGCTACGCACGGCTCTTTAAAGAGCGCACGGCTCTTGCGGGCTTTTCTACGAGGTAGGGGAATTCCCCCACCTCCCGCAAAAGCCAGCAAGAGCCGCACGCTCTTTAAAGGGAGCGCTGCTCTTGCGGGCTTTTCTACGAGGTGGGAGAAGGAACAGCCCGTCAGTGACAGGCTGCCCTTCTCCCTCCTCGGGGAAAACCCCGCAAGAGCCGCACGGAGCGTGTGTGTGGCTCTTGGGGGCTTTTCCCGCCTACCTCACGCCTGCATTCGTTCCATAAGACGCACACCCATTTCCCCTTACTTTTTAGGAGGGAAAAAGTGTGTCTTATGGAGCGAAAAATACTGTACTTCATTATTTCTAAACTTGATTGTTTTGTGATGCGGTGGAGGAGCTTGAACCCTTAGAGCAGTGTTGCCCAACCTCGGGTCTTGAGCTGTTTTTGGACTACAACTCCCATCATTCCTAGCTAGCAAGCCCAGTGGTCACAGATGGTGGGAATTGTAGTCCGAAAAAATGCTGGAGACCCAAGGTTGAAAAACACTGCCTTAGAGAAACAGGGGACTTGGTTGCAGGGAGGTGAAAGCAGCTTGCAAAAACGGTGGGCGCTTTCATTCCATTTATCTGCTCCTTGTCAGAGAGGGAGAAAATGTAGCAGCGTAAAAGTTTCCTCCTGGATCAGGCTAACGGCCAATCTAGCTCAGCATTCTGCCCTCACAGTGGCCAGCTAGATGCCTCAATGGGAACCCCCCGAGTAGGATCCGAGCACCTGCAGTTCTCAGGTGCATGATGCAGCCGATAGTGGATGTACAATACCTTCCATAGCATTTGTCATGTCTCCTGCCGGTTTGAAAGTCGCTGATTGCGTTTTGCTTTTTGCAAAATTCGTGTTGACTGCACCAACGAATCGCAGGAAACCCTCTGTGTGTGTTTGCTTAAAAGGAGCTGGGATTTGGAGAGAGAGAGGTTGCATGGCTTGCAATGTGTTGAGTTATGAGGTATGGGGTATTTTGAGGAAGCATAAGACTGGTGTGTGTGTCTGTGCATGCTCCTTTCTGCATCATCACTTTGCCTGGGAATGTGCAAGGCATGTTGCGTGACAAGTGCTGTTTCCCAGCCCCACACAGGTGTCTCCTAGGCACATACACAACCCCCTTCCGTTTTGCTATGGAAATGGGAGAAGCCTCTGCTGGCCCAAGGGAATCCATGATTTTACGCAAGTGAGCAGTGATCTCCCATTGCAAGCAGGAGAGTTCTGATATGGGATTCTCCCCTCTACAGGGGGCAGGCTTTCCCTACTGGCTAGATGGGTCTTTACCATGTGTTCACTGGTCAGGATTTTACCCTTTTATTAAACGGTATTTGGTTTTGTGTGTGTGGTTTTATCTGTTTTTAATTACCGTATTTTTCGCTCTATAAGACGCACCAGACCACAAGACGCACCTAGTTTTTGGAGGAGGAAAACAAGAAAAAAAATATTCTGAATCTCAGAAGTCAGAACAGCAAGAGAGATCGCTGCGCAGTGAAAGCAGCAATCCCTCTTGCTTTTCTGGCTTCTGGGATAGCTGCACAGCCTGCATTCGCTCCATAAGATGCACACACATATCCCCTTACTTTTTAGGAGGGAAAAAGTGAGTCTTATAGAGCAAAAAATACGGTATCTTACGTGTGAATCGCCCTGAGACAGTGGTTTAGAAGGCGATTAAGGAATTAATTGTAATAATAACATGGTGCTTCCCCAGAATAGAGATCCCCGCTAAGTTAAGTTAGGCCTAAACGGCCTCGATCCTGTATACCTGAAGGCGCATCTCCACCCCCATCGTTCTACCCGGACACTGAGGTCCAGCTCCGAGGGCCTTCTGGCGGTTCCCTCATTGCGGGAAGTGAGGTTACAGGGAACCAGACAGAGGGCCTTCTCAGTAGTGGCGTCTGCCCTGTGGAACGCCCTCCCTTCAGATGTGAAGGAAATAAGCGGCTATCTTATCTTTAAAAGACATCTGAAGGCAGCCCTGTTTAGGGAAGTTTTTAATATTTAATGCTGTATTGTTTTTAACACTCGATTGGAAGCCGCCCAGAGTGGCTGGGGAAACTCAGCCAGATGGGCGGGGTATAAGTAATACATGATGATGATGATGATGATGATGATATAATGTGGCACTTACTTCGGTGTGGGTATAGGACTCAGCTCCTCTGTCCCGAGTCTAGAACATTTCAAAATGAAAAACGATACAGTCCAGATTTAGACACTTTAAAAACCCACAGGTTTCAGTGAGAAAGACTAGTATATGTTTATTCACTGAAACCAGCAGCTGTCTGGGAACATGTTGCATGAGTTTTTGGGCTTCCCATTGGGGCATTGTAGGATTGCAGCCATAGCCCCATTTTCAAGCCCTGCTGTTTTATTATCGGTCTTCTGTTTGCAGATTATGGTGACAAGCTGAACATGGAACTGAGGGAGAAGTACAAGCTTGATAAAGACTCTTACCCGGTTTTTTACCTGTTCCAAGATGGCGACCTGGACAACCCTTTGCCTTACTCTGGGCAGGTCAAAGCGAGCTCCCTGCAGCGCTGGCTGAAGAGCCGGGGGATCTACATGGGGATGCCGGGGTGCCTGAAGGAGTTCGACACCTTGGCCAGCAAATTTGTGGGGGCCACGAAAGAGCTGGAGCGCCAAGCCCTCCTGGAAGAAGGGCGGAAGCTCCTGGCCAGGGCGAAGGAGACAGAGCAGAAGTCCTCGGAGCAGTACGTCAAGGTCATGAGCAAAATCCTCGCCCAGGGGGACCAGTTTGCCGCCAGCGAAGTCTCCCGGATCAGCAAGCTCATTGAGGAGAACAAGATGAGCGAGGGCAAGAAGGAGGAACTCCAGAAGCGCTTGAACATCCTTGCTTCCTTCCAGAAGAAGACCAAGGAGGAAAAGGAGGAACTTTGACATGCTAGAATCTTAAGTGGGTCGAGGTCCCGATCTGGTGCTCCTTCATGCAAGCAAAAATGCCCTGCTCTCTTTTAACGAATTCCCCTCATAGAGAAGCTTCCCACATACACACATGCACACCCTTTTTAAACTTTTATTTTGAACGAAAGGCATCCCTTAGGTGCCACTCAGAACAGTACGGAGACTGCCATCGGTCCCAGCGCTGTTGAGAGCATTTCAGGTAGAAGATCCGTTAATCCTTTGTTTCAAAAGGCAAAAAAATAAATAATCTTTCCTTCCCCCTTGCCCTTTTCTCCTCCTCTAAGAAAAAAGCTTCTCCTCACAGGTGTCGTCCATGCCAGTTGTGTTTCCAAGATGGCCGCCCTCAGGACTTGGCGCAGCTTCTTCTTCACTGGTGGGGTTTTCAAAATGGCTGCACTTGGAACACAAGGCGACCTGTTGTCATTGCTTGAATTCTCAAGGTGCAGCCAATCCTGGCCCCACCAGGCCTGTAACATTGTGGACCGTGCCGGCTGGCCCACAACCAACACAGAAGGCTTATTGAGTCATTGGGTGGGGAGAGTTGCCAGATATTCATGGCGGGCTGCAGTCAGTGTGGTGAGCTCAAAATGGCCGCCCTCAGAATGGTGCTTGGTGTTCTGGCGGGCAATGGAAGAAGATGGCCGCCCTCCCTGTTTTTGTGTGATCTGTGCTGAGGAATTCAACCATCCGAGCAAGCAGGGGGTGGAATCATTTATGTGTGTGTGTGTGTGTGTGTGTTTTTGGGAGCCCAGGTTTGGCCAAAGCAAAACATGCATTTGAGATGGGGAGGCAAAAATGGCGTTCGTCTCTTTACTGACCAGTATTTGCAAAAATGTTTTTTGGAGGGGAATTACATGGGTACTTAATTTGCTAATAAAGGTTATTGGGCGGAAAATTCACAGTCGGGTAATTATTTCCCTCCCATTTCTTCCTGCTTTTGTCAACAAGATTAGCGTTGCCCTCTGCTGAGCGAAAGAAAATGGAGCTCTCATTCAGTCTGAACTCTTGCTCAGAGTAGTTTGCGATTTGTGAGAACTGATTGTGGAAGTTGGCACTTCAATATGATTGATTTTCCTCCTTTTTTGTTTTAAATAAACTTTTAAGTGTTTGAGAACAAACTGCCCGAGGTGGGAATGCTGAGATTGGAGTTTATGTTCTTCCCTTTATTAAAACCAGCAACAATGGGGGCGGCAGTTTGGATTGGGGCCATGAGAGAGCGAGGCAAAAGGTTAGACCCTCTCCCCTGTGCTGTGCTGCAGCCTAATCCAAATTAAGTGTGCAAATCTGCAGCTGCTTTTTTTAAAAACAAAAAACGGTGGAAGCATGGGGACTTCTGGTTGGGGAATGCCCCCTGTGCTGTCCCTAGCTTGGCCCTCCGTGTAGCAGGGGAAACCTTCGGACATCACCCTACTAATGTCTGGAGACCTGATTCGAGAGCCCTGATCTCCAGTCCTCTTCAGTTTCACCAAGCTTCAGAGCCGATCCGTACCATCATATGATCTAGAAACTTGTGGGTGTTTTTGGTGACGCTGAAATCTTTGCCCAGTACCAGATCCCCCCACATAAACAATATGTGTCCACCTCACTCTCAGTGGGGAGAATTGGGTGTGAGCAGGAAGCTGAACTGCCGCACTTGCCCGATTCCTTTTGATTGCCCCCTGGAGTTTCTCCTTAAGGGTGTAACTGGCCATCACTGCCCCTGTGGGAGAGAGTTCCACAGGCCAGCTATGCGCTGTTTGAAGAAGTCCGTCCTTTTAGCTGGCTGTGTCTACTGGCGATGATGGCTGTACTGCTGGAAGCAGAAGGAGGGGAGAGTTGCTGTCAGGGCCAGCCCACCCATGAGGCAAGGTGAGGCAGACGCCTCAGGCAGCAGATCTGGCTTCCCAAGGAATGCATTGCCCGCTGCCAATGCTGTGGCACGCTGCTTGAAGGCGTTTTGTGGCTTGCCTCAGGTGCCAAAATGTCTTGAGCTGGCCCTGGTTGTTGTGCTTGAAGCCTGCTTGGGAGCTGTGCTTTTCTTTAAAAATTAAATACTTTTGACAAGAAAACAGCCCTTGGGCTAGGAAAGGATAGCTGCCCCTGTTTCAGGAGACTGAGCTGGAGGGACGCTTGTCCAAACAGACAAAGGCTTGTGTCGACTGCTGGCTCTTCCTGGTTCAAAGGTGCTCAAGAAGGGTAATGAGTCTGTGGGAAAAGTAACATATCTGATTGACAGCCTGAAATTGTCCCCCTGCCCCAAGTGACTGGGCCAAAGCCACAGGGCTTCTCCTTTTTAGTGTTCATTTTCCACTGAAGGACAAAACACTGGCTCATTTCAAGAAGACACAAAAGACTTGCTCACTCAAGTGGAGTCACAGGTGCCTGTTTTGACGAGAGAGCGGTAAATCCAGGTTGGCACATCGCTCTCTGCTGCCCTTTCATTGAGTTCCTTTTAAGTTTGCAAAGCTTGGATTTTATTTGCGATGTTCTGAAATAACAAGTACCGTACGTTCTGGCGTATAAGACGACTTTTGAACCCCGGAAAATCATCTCCAAAGTCGGGGGCCGTCTTATATGCCAGGTATGGTTGTGGCAGGCGGCGGCGGCTGGCTTGGAACGGCGACGGGCAGAAGGATGGTAAGAGCCGCCCCCCCACCTCCATCCCTGGCCGCCTCCTGAAGCAGCAGCAACCGCGGCAGCCTCCCCTTCCCACAGCAAGGTGGTGCACGGCTTCGGCCAGGGCTCTGAGAAGCTGGGCATCCCCACAACTGCCAGAACTACCAGTCGGTGAGCGCAGCCCTCCGTTTTGCTGGACGGCCGACCGGGGCTTGCTCACCTTGCCTTGGGCTGCTGCTGCAACGGCAGAGGCAGTGGAGGGGTGTGTCCTCTGCCCCTGGCGGCACTTGGCGGGCTTTAGGTTGGGGGACTGCCTCTAATTGGCTGCAGGCGGAGGTAGTCTTATACGGCAAGTATATTCCAAACTCTATATTTTAACAGGAAAAGTTGGTCGTCTTATATGCCCAGTTGTCTTATAGGCCGGAAAATACGGTATTAGGAAAATTTTCCTAAAGGTAAAGGTACCCCTGCCCGTACGGGCCAGTCTTGACAGACTCTGGGGTTGTGCGCCCATCTCACTCAAGAGGCCAGGGGCCAGCGCTGTCAGCAGACACTTCCAGGTCACGTGGCCAGCGTGACAAAGCTGCATCTGGCGAGCCAGCGCAGCACACGGAACGCCGTTTACCTTCCCGCTAAAGAGCGGTACCTATTTATCTACTTGCACTTAGGGGTGCTTTCGAACTGCTAGGTGGGCAGGAGCAGGGACCGAAAGACGGGAGCTCACCCCGCCGCGGGGATTCGAACCGCCGACCTTTCGATCGGCAAGCCCTAGGCGCTGAGGCTTTTACCCACAGCGCCACCCGCGTCCCTAAAATATTTATAATTGCAAGGTACTTCCTTGCAATTATAAATATTTTTGATTTTCAAAAAACACTCGCAATAATAGGAAGCAGAGAGCAGGACTATAGGGGCAGGTCTCATATAGTTGGGACTGGTGCTTTTTTTGTTTTAACTTGTTTTTATTGGGTTTTGAAAAGGGGGTAAATCCCAAATCAATATTTCCCCATAATTCTTAAGAAACAGTTAAGCAGAGGCGCCTGCCAGAAGACCCAGTGTGTTCTCTTAGCTTCCTTTGAACCTGGGCTAGGATTGGTGTACTCACAAATCCCCTTTTTTGCACTCTTCCCACCCTTGACAATTTTGTTGAGCAAGTCGGTCATTCACTGGCATGTTACAGAACATTTTTGTCTCGCAACCCCTTAAGGGAGGAGCTTATTCAGAGCTCAGCTGCATCCTTAGGCCACAGGCCCATCTGCTCCAGCGCCCAGATTCCTGCCATGGTCCAGCAGATGTGCCCAGCAGGCGCATGAGCAGAGGATGCTCAACTGTCTTCCACTTTTGCACCCAGCAATGTATCTGGAGGTACACTGCTGCATTTGTCTGTGGTCAGATTTCAGTGGTCAGCAAACTTTTTCAGCAGGGGTCCGGTCCACTGTCCCTCAGACCTTGTGGGGGGCCAGACTATATTTTGGAGAAGAAAAAAATGAACGAATTCCTATGCCCCACAAACAACCTAGAGATGCGTTTTAAATAAAAGGACAAATTCTATTCATGTAAAAACACGCTGATTCCTGGACTGTAGGCGGGCCAGGATTTAGAAGGCTATTTGGCCGGATCCAGTCCCTGGGCCTTAGTTTGCTTACCCATGGATTTAACCTTCGGGAGGTTTAGACACCTGAAGTCCTACCCACCGTGAAACTGCCTAATTTGTCTTGGACATATTATTATCTAGTCATGTGGGATGCAAATTTAACATTAAAGCCATTTGGTGCCTGTGATTGGTATATTGCCACATTTTGTCAGGGCAAAACTTGAGGGCTGAGGTCTCTGCGCTTCCCTCCCCACACACCAATTTGGCAGAATCAGTCCCACTCACAAATGCAACAAGGCTAGCTTATTACGTTTTGAAATAAGAGGTGCACGTTACAAGACTCTTCAGTCCAGATTCTAAAATCAACCAACTACCCCAGTTAATTCAGATTCCAGAAATTCATTCCATGCCATGTGAATAAGCCCCTCCCCCCAGAAGTAGGTTTAGACCAGGGTTTCCCAAACTTGGGTCTCCAGCTGTTTTTGGAACTACAACTCCCATCATCCCTAAGCTAGGAGGACCAATAGATTTAATCAACCTTTGCCTCCTTACGACATTTGCCCAGTCAGCGCAATGTTCAGAGGATATGATTAATCCTGGTTAATAAAAAAACCCCTCAGGTGGTCTATATTAATATTACTTGTCGCAGAGATGACGGAAAAGACGAGGCCATGATCCATTTGGATCAGTGGCATAACTGCATTGGAGAGCATTGCGCGGCGACCAGCAGATGGAGATACTGATTCATTAGTAGAAGGGACCGTAGTTTAAATTCAGGGAATTGTAGCGGCTGGTTTCTCCTCGGATTATTCTGGGGGATTGTGAAAAACGGGTAGGTGGCTGTGGATCCGCAATAAATTCTGGAGAGCGGCAAAATAAAAGTCCTCCCCAAGCGAGCGCCTCTGGAATGGATGCGGGGGCCGCATGGAGGCTTAGAGATCGTAGACTCAATAGCGCTGCAAAGGGTTCCAAGGGTCATCTAGTCCAACCCGCGGCGATCACAGCCCTGGGGCTGCACCTGCTTTTGATCTGCAGAGAAATTTCCCTGCCGTTTCTTCCCACCTTTATCGAGGGTCTTTTTCCCTTTCTATTTGCTCTTTGGTTTGTCTAAAACCCCTCTTTCCCCCCATTTCACTACTTAAAATTTCCGGTCCTTTCCCCCTTCCATCATCATTACCAACAGCATCATCATCAAACCAGTAACTTTCTGCTTTTCCCCCTCTCTCCACTCCCCGCTCATCGCCCTGTTTCTCCTCCTTTTCTCCAAGGGGGCGCGGAGGTGGCGCGGCTGCGCCTGGGGCGGGACCAGCGAAGGCGGGCGGGGCGGGGAGGAGGAGGGCGCTGGCCGGCCGCTCCCGCGGCTGCTCCGCCTGGCTAGCATGGCTTTCTCGGCGCCCGGCGCTGCCTCCGGGGGGCTCCGCAGCCAGGACGCCTGGTCCCAGCAGGTAAGCGATGCCCTCCCTCTCCAAGCAGACCCCGCACCTCTTGGACTCCAGTCCTTCCTTCCTTCTCGCCAGCCCAGGATCACCCTCGTTTTTCCCTACCAGAAGTCAGGCTCTTGTGGACGCCCCCATCCCAATTTGCTTTCTGAGCAGAGAGAAGACCCCTTTCTGAGCAGAATGGGGAATTTTGCCCCTCAGAAGAGTTATCCATGGCTTTTCCAATGGAGAAACCCACCGCTGCTTCTGGAGTCCCTTGTGCAGGCTCCTTGCG